AGCATTTAAAGGTTTTATTGATAAAGTAATACAACAAAAGAATTTTCCATTTGAATTTGAACAACCATTTCGGCCTCTGGGTTTTCATGGTACACCACATCGATCAATGGTTTTAATTATGCCAACTACAACATGTGTTGTACAATTAACTGAATGGGTAACGTTTGTTTTTTATTTTTAATAATTTGAATTTATTATATTCTGATTTTCTTTTGTCGTTCTCGAAAAGCCTCCAATGGTTATTGTGCTTGATGAAGTCGAGCTTGTTCATTTTGAACGTGTTCATTTTCAATTGAAAAATTTTGATATGGTTTTTATTATGAAAGAATACTCACAAAAAACATATAGTATACAATCAATACCAATGAACGAACTTGATCCTATAAAAAATTGGTTAAAGTAAAAACTGCAAAGAAAATAGCGATAACATAAAATAAAATTTGACTATTTCTATTTTTCCAGCTCATGCGATATGTGTTATACTGAAGGTCCACAAACATTGAATTGGTCAAAAATTATGAAAACAATTACAGATGATTTAAGTGGATTTTTTGTTCAAGGTGGTTGGACATTTCTAGAGTCCGATGGAGATAGTGCAAAAGAAGGAATTGTTGAAGATTCTGATATTGAAGAAGATGATTATAATCCAGACGAAGATGACAGTGCCGAAGAAGGGTCAGAAAGTGAATATTCTGGCGAAGAAGAAGAAGAAGAAGAAGATTTTCAAGAAAAAGATAGTGATTCAGGTATGAAATAGATTTTTTCTTTGTTTATTACAAAAACAAAACATTTCGTAATTGTTTAGATGAATCAGAGAATTTGGGATCTGATGAAGAGTCAGGAAAAAGTTGGAGTGAACTTGAAGAAGAAGCAAGAAAAGGTAAATAAGATTTGTTAACGAAATACTTTTTAGTCATTCGCTACATTTGTTTATGTGTAGCTGACGCCGAAAAACTGGATTATGATTCAGATACTGCTGGTCGAACGAAGAAAAAAGGTGACGACTCAAAGAAACGATCTGTAGTTCTATCGAAAAAGCGACCAGCGCGTTCACCACCACCTACAAACAATAAAAAGAAGAAGAAATAAATATGAATGGATATACATATACTCTATAACTCGTAGTTCTTTTTGTTTTTGTATATTTTATCTTCGTATATACCTTTTATTCGCGTTTTATCTTTTTCTGTCGTGCATCAAAAAAAAATTGTTGTAATAAAAAATCCTAATAGAACACAGAATAAAAATTAATTTGCATTTCATAAAATTAATTCATTGTTTCAATTCGTTACAACAAGTTAAACTGTCAATCCAATTGAAATATAAAAACTTGTATAACTCGTACTTTTGACTTGTAAACACATCAAAGTCGAATGAATATTATATTATTGCATTTTAAATTTTATTTGTACATATTTGATAATATCGCAAACAAAAAACTACCATTCTTTAATAATATTGGAATGAATTGCGATGAAAACTGTACTTTTACAATGATCAGGTGCCAAATCGTCAAACATTCGAAAGATGATATGAAAAACCTACGAGAAGATGTTTCTCAAAGCCAAATATTTCGATATTCAAAGAGCAACAATCTTTTTAAGATTGTGATGATTGAAAAGTATCCATTACATGCCATCGTAATTTCGATTTATTCGTTCTTGTAACTTGTCACTTTGCATGTATGAATCATAGTTTATCTGCAACACGATTTTCATCATTCGCAAAGCTACTCGTCATATTATCTTTCAAGTGTTCTGAAAGTCAACAATAATAAAATACATAAATGTAGAAACGAAAGTTTTCATTATCAATCTAAATCATGAATAAGCAGCTTCGCTGAGAATTCTTATATTATTTTGCACGCTGAACAATGATGAATTATAATAAAATTATAGAGCAATATTTCGACAATCACTACATACATAAAGAGAATATATTCGCGGGCTTTCTCTAGGGTATCATAGTGCTGTTGTCATTACGTTTGGTATATCCTGAGTAGACACTTAATGCGAATATGGTTCGATTAAAACACTATGCATTGCGTGTTCGATGCAGACAAGAATGTGGCCTAAATAACTGGTCATGCACTTTTAGAAATAAGAATTCACCAAGGAGTATACCAATAAGAAATTACAATTTATCCATTTTAGTAAAGAATAATAGTTGCATTCATGTTGAAAGAAAAATGAAATTTTTTCTTGAACCTAAAACGAGAAAAAAATGAACTATTCCTAGCAAGAACAAAATAAGACACTACAACATTAGGTTTACTCTTCGAATAGAAGTAATAAGAAAGGTAAATAATTGATTTCGGTTAGAGATTATTGTTAGAAAAATAATAAAAATTGTCAGAGATGTAAACAGTCTGCTACAACACATTTTTATTTCCGACTGGAAATCGTTTTTTTGTTTTCTTTGATATTTTTTGATGATTAGCGATAAAACACTTTGCCTTTATCTTTGTTAATTTACAATTGTCGAAAGAGAAATTCAATGAATATGAATGCAGAAACGAAAAAAGGCGTTCATTAGTAAGTTTAAGAAGTCTTTTGATTACCATTCAAAGTTTCATAACATCCATCGGTAGATTATTATTACTTTTATCTTCATCATCATAATATCTATTTTCGTCTATACATTCTTACAGAATATGCAAGTTGTTCAAAACTTATGCGATGATTAACTTGCGTTTGTATATTAAGCGGTGACAATCAACATCTTTTGATTTTATTTTAGTCTATTTGTTCATCAATATTGAACGGCAAATAAAAGAATGCGTAACAAAAAAGTTTGTGCTAAAAATGAATGCAACGATTATCAAATAGTTCGTATCAAGCCAGAATGGAGAAAGTCAACAAAATGAGATGTTCGTTGTGTTTCTCTCTTGTTCTTCTTCTTGATCAAACTTTATTTTTCTTGCAAATATTGTCTAACGAAAATTCATTTTTTTGTCGAATAGCAAATAGATCGTCTTTATGCATTTGATAAGAAGAAAAAAAACCTTTCGATAAAGTATCATTATTAGGCTCATATATATTCATGTCTATAGTTCTTGCCTGTTTGTCAAGTGTCAATACAGCATACATTATCGTGGTACTTAAAGTAAAGATGGAAAATGAAGGCATACAGATTTGATTAGGTTTGTTCAATTTCAAGAAAAAGAAACAAAAAGAAAAAAGAAATTAAAGTTTATTCAAAATTACACTCGCTCATCTATATATAAAGAGGGAATATGTCCAAAGCAGTGATCACAAAAAGAAGAAAAGCGTTTATGCCATTCAAGCATTTCTACAATCAACGACAAGGAAAAAGTGGCAAGTCTATCATGTAGAAACTTTCTTTTTCTCGTTTTTTTTTTTGTGTTATTACTATCTTGAAATGTTAAAACTTTAGTAGGAATGCGTAAAGAATTGAGTATGTAAGGTGACAAGAGACAGAAAAGAAGAAAAAAAAAGAATAAGAAGAAGAAACGGAAACTCATTTTTATAGTCAAAACGAGCGTCAACGATATACGACAATTCCCCAAAAGACTCACTTTTACTCTCTTCTATTAGACTATCTATCACCACCTTGCTCAACTATAACTAGAAGCGATACTTTTTTGTTACTTACACACACGCAAACATAACACCTATGCACGAATACAGAAGAACAACCTATGGGAAATTAGATTTGTGCTGGCTATTAGACATATTTTACATGTCGACATACACGACCATTTTATGGGTTTTTTACAAGTATAACTGTTCGATGACGAGGCGAAGAAAGTAGATAAGTGTTGATTTCATCTGATAAGATAACTTTCTATGTTTTTTAAACTTATTTTCTTTCTTCTTCGTAAAAAAATACACAGATGAAAAAAACCACACTAGTCAATATATCACAATTAAAATATGTTTTTCGACTTAATCGAATAATAATATCGATCAATGATTTTTCTTTTCTCTTGTTTTCTCTCTCTCTCTCTCTCTCTCTCTTTTCTGTGATGCAATATATATATATACGTATATATATTCGAGAACGCTTGTATTTAGAAAATGTAATAACTTCCTTTAGTCATCAACTGCATGAAGAATATTCAAAAGAAAAATTTCAACAGCTGAATAGCGAGAGCAAGTACTTATCAAATTACAACTAAACAAACTGGTACTTTCTCTCTCGCCTTATGCAAGCTGATGTCATCCAATTGATGAAATAAAGAAATATTAGAAATTTATTATTATTATGATAGGCTATAAATGCAGGTTTTGTTGATAATTTGGGCATGGAATATGAATTTGTTCGTTGTCGTCAAAACCTGTATTTAATCGGCATATATTTAACAACTGTTTCGTGATTTAAAGATAATGAAGTGTATGTCAAAAATAAGAAAAACATTTCTATTGTAGAAATAAAGTATTTTATTACTTCATGTGCATTTTTTTGACACCTTTATTTTTTGTTCCTCTTGTTATTCATATAGGTAAGAATTTATTTTGCAAAAATATAAGCTCTAGTACACTGTTCAAAAATATAATAAAACAATACATATTCGTTGAAATCTTGTAAATTTATTATATTTTTTAAACTCAGTATTGTACTTTTTTGGGAATAAATATAATTGAAAAAGCATTTGAAACTTAATATTAGTTCTTAAAACAAGCTCTTTAAAATATCATCGTACATAACGTTTTTTTTTGATTCTTACTGATGACACAGAAATATGTTTGATTTAAAAAATTTGTCTGTAATTGTATGTACAATAAAAATTCTTTTGCTCTTCAAACAAAAGAAAACAAGAAATCACTTCCGTAAGAGATTACAACATGTAACTTTCTGAAAAAGAAAAGATCCTTTTTATTCAATGCATTAAACAAAACGATTATACCACTGATTGATATAAAAGAAAAAGAATAATAGTTTGATTTGATTTGATTAACTTTTATTTCAGTGGAGCATAAAGTTAACGTTTACAAAAGAATTCATGAAAAATAAAATAATAGTGTTAAAACATAGTCTTAAGCATCGGTTGCATTTTCGACTTCTTGATTTTCAGTTGTTTCTGATTTTTTATAAAATGGACTGGTGAATCCTGTTGCTGGTCCTTTTAATGAACTTGCTGGAATACTACCTCGTTGTATAGTTGTACCATTTGATGACATACCATTAACTGTAACCTTACCAGTATCACCATATACCACTGTAGGAGTATTACTTGCTTTTGATAATAATTTACGGCGATACATAACATAACCAACTATGCATGCTACTACAACAATAGCAATGATGGCAACAATAATACCAGCAATAAGACCGCCCCGTGATGGTTTTGGTTTCGAAGGTGGATCTGTCACATCTATAGATGTTCGTGTTGTTTTTATTGTTGTTGTTGTTATTGCCGTGCTGAAGCCTGGTATTACCGATGGAGACGGTATAGTTTGATTATCAATCATGTAGAAAAGTCTAGCACCTTGCCAATCATTCCATTGACTAGGTGGTATGATGTCTACTATCTTGAGTGTTAAATTAAGCTCTCGTTTGTTTGTATAATATTCAAATACAGGTTGATCAATTTTTCCACATAATGAAGTTGTTACATCACCATCTGTATATTTTATTGAATCAACACATTCAACAGCCATCGATGGATTTACTATTGAACTATCACGTAAAGATAGTTCAATTATGTAAATAAAAATTTTTTTGTCATCAGAATTATTTGGTAGTCGAATAGTTAATGTACATTCTGATTTTCCATTTTGATAAGTACTTGGATAGCCAGGTGTTTCAATAAATCCCATAGTATTTGAAGTTTCCGTATTCCCACAGAATCTGACTGTTGAATATAGTGTTGATGGTCTCATTGGTAAACATTGAAAATAAAATCCAGTCGAATCAGCTTGACATGGTGATGATAGTGGTGAAATTGGCATACTAGCAGTATATGTACAATCTTTCTGACCCGCACATTGTGCTTGTGGTTGTTCACTTGAAAATAAACATGTGAAATCAGTTATATCACATTGATTAGGTTGTTTTGTAGCGAAATGATATGATTGTAAAAACACTAGACCAAAATCGGGTGTACAACCAAATCTTACACTTTCAAGTCCATTTGTTAATCCACAAGCATATTTATATGCAATATTAAACGGTTGTGTTGGAGATACAGGTGGAGGTGGTGGACGACAATTTTCATTTGCAATAGATTCAATATAAATTTCAACGCCTTTATATTTTACTGTACCTAAAGATAGAAATTGATTTCTAAATCGAAGCTCAATTGTATTTGAACATGTTTCAAGTAAATAACGTGTATGACTATTACCACATAAACGTGTTAAACCTGATTCGATATCATTGATTTCGATCGATGGATCATTATCACCACATTGTAAACCTTGGTCACGTACTGTTTGTACTTTTGGTAAATTTAATGTGAGAATATAAACTCTAAATGCTTTATGTCTTTGACTGCCTAATAATGGATTTGATTGTAATTCTACTTTACAGTCTTTGTATTCTGATGTATAGTTTAATGATGAAATTATTGCACCACCTTGAACGCTTTGAACTGCGCCTACTGATGAACATATATCAAGATTAAGTTTAGGACGTGTCGGAATACATTGATATTCAGCATATAAATACTTTGATCGAGAATTATTACATGATTTCATTTCTATTAAAGGTGGAAATATAAAACATGATAGTTTACCACCACAGGTATTGTATAAATTAGTACGATCTTCAAAACAATCGTTCGCAGAATAACTGCAACTACCTGATGTAGTTGTAGCAAGTTGTACTTTATGTATAACAAGAACATATCCAGGTTGATAACAATTTAAAACTAAAGACTGCTGAATACATGTGCTTGATATTTGAACAAGAGTACTAACAGGACCAATACCAGCAGGTGTTGTACTTGTGGATTTGGTTGTTGTTGTTGTTGCTATTGTTGTTTTTGTTGTAGGTATATTAGCTCTTGGTACAAGATGATAAAGTAATGCAAAACCACGTTGAGCTTGAGAATCTTGACTTATTAAATTGTATGAAGCAAAGATTTTATCTGTTGCTGAACATGTACTAAATAACAGTTCAGTTGAACGTGTACCACATATGCGTCTAGTATATGCCTGATTATTACATTGATAAGTTAATTCTAAATAATCATTTAAACATTCACCAGTATTAGGGTCCGATAAACCGATACTAATATCAATTAAAAACATAAAAATAACAAGATCGGAGCCGTCCAATGAATTTAATGATACATTGGCACATTGTGTTTGTGCATACAATGGATATGATGGACTTTTCAATATACCACTATTGCCACTGATATCATTTATTTGACCTGTACATAAATCTGCAGCATTTGTAACAATGGTTGGTGTTGGTAAACATTGGTATTCAACAAAAAGATAGCCAGCAATAACGTTATTATATTCAGGTAAAGTAACTGGATTTAAAAATGGAACAGAACATTTTTGTTTTCCTGAACATAATCGATAAACATTGTCAGCTTCACTTGTATAATCGCCAGGACTGTAATCACAACGACTACCTTTACCGTAGAATGCTCGAAGAATAACGAGAATATAATTTGTTTGACATTGAAAATTGTTTGCACCGAATAAAGACGAAAGATCAGGATAACATAAAGTTTTTAAATAACGTGGAGATGGACCAGTGGATTCACTTGGTTCTAGAGTAGTAGTTGATGGGCCTGTTGGTGGACTAGGTCGTGGAGTTGAAATAGTTGTTGGGATTTCAGGGCAAATTTCTTGTGGTGATCTTTCTCGAAATTCAAAGTAAAGTTTCACACCACGTCCTCTAGCATCTGACGATCGCGTTAATTGAAATGATACAGATGAATGACATGTATTAAGTAAAAAATTTGTATATGATCTACCACATATCTCCATAACATTATTATCAGACGAAACAATAAATCGATCTTTTGTACAACTCTGTCCAATTAGATTCGGGCCATTCAAATCCATATCGAGTATATAAACATAAATATCTTGATATGGTTTTAATGTTTGTAAATTGAATGTACAATCAATATTATTTGGTGTATTTGGAAAATTATGTGAAATTAAATATCCACGGCGAGTATTACCTTGTGGTAATGAACTATTATCACATAGATTGTATGTAGTTATACTCGATATATCATTTGGTACACATGTATAATCAATGTGTAAATAAGCAGATGGTCGATTTTGACATGCTACTAAAGTTTTAGCAAAATGAAGTGCCGTGCATGTTGGTTTGCCTGCGCATACATTTTGCACAGTTGATGCATCACTTTGAAAGCAATCATTCCTATCATAAACACATGCACCTGCACCAATATTACTATCGGGTTTAGCTGCGTAATCAGCTGTTATTATATCAATAACATAGCCAGGTGGGCATCGAAGTGTTTGTGGTTGACCACGACATATATCATAGATTGTTGTATCAGTAACACTCAAATCACAAAATCCCCATTGACGATCAGTATCGAAATTACTTGTTAATGAACACCAAGGCTCTTGAACACCTTCTCCCGGTGCTGGAATTGGTGGGTCTACTGTTAAGCAGTTGGATTGTGGATTGCCTTGATATGTAAATGGAAATTTACAGTATTGACGCGTACCATTGTTTGTTGTTGTTCCACCGTAAGTAGGAACTAGAAATAAATAAATAAATTAGTCATACTAAAAATTAAAAAAAAATTGTTTTCAATATGATTTACTTTGCAAACTAGGTGGTAAGACAGTTGTAGTTGGAGGCGAAGTTTTTCGTGTCGTTGTTGTTGTTATTGTTATATTAGGTGGTTTACAGGCCCAATTACTAGGTAAATCAACAGTTTGAGAATAAACTTTAAAACCACGATAACCAAGGGCTTGATGAGTTGAAACAAATTTTAATTCAACCACATTTCCACAACTAACCATAACTAATCCAGGTTGTTGTAAACCACACAAGACAACTTTATCACTGCCATCATTAATTGTTAAGGATGCTGCATTACAATCACCAATATCATTTTGTCCTTCCAGAAATAAATCAACTATGTAAATCATCCATATTTTATCAGATGGGGCTTCAATTTTTTTCGAACATGTACGAGTACCACCTAATGTAGGATACTGTGGACTAACCATCATAACTTTATTTAATGCAATCGTGCTTGTTGATGTTGATGTTGATCCACATATATCGATTGGATTTTCATGATTTGGCAAACGTGTAGGTATACACTCGTAATCAATATTAATATAATCAGCATTTTTTGATTCACATTGAATCAGTGGCTTTGGAATATCATATTCGACAAAGCATGAGTGTGTACATGTTAATCCAAGTGAAGCTTCTTGACGACAGTGAGATGGTGATGGAATTTCACATAAACCTGTACCAGTTACAGCATAATTTGTTTCAATGATTGCAAGAACATAATCTGAGCCACAAGGGCATGTTAATGTTGTTGAAGTACCGAGACAAACATGTGATCTATATACAGGTGAAAGTTCTAGAGGTCCTGAACAGACCGTTGTTGTTTCATTACTAGGCGTGATTGTTGTTGTTACAGGAGATATACCGGGACATATCAAATCTATTGGTTTTGGAACCCATTCAAAGTAAAGTTTAAAACCTTTATAGAAAAGATTTGGTGGCGATGATGTTTTGTACTGAATATCAATAGCAGTAGTACAAATTGGAAGAATAGCTAATTTTCGTGTACCACAATAGACATAAGCGACATGTGGAGCATTTATTATTAAATAATCATTTATGCAAGTATCACGAATAGACGGATGCATTTCTTCTAACTCATCTAAATTCTTTGTATCATAATTTTTATAAATAACTAAATCTGGTTCACCTGAATCTTCTAAATAATAAAAATATTTATATTTAAACAAAAAAACAACTAAATAATAAGTAAACTTATAATTACCATCTATAACATCTGAATGACGTTGGCCACCACTTGATATAGCCATTTCATTAATCCAAATTTTAAGGATTCGATCTAGAACACCGTTGAGTCTTCTTTTACATTCATTAGTTGTTTGTGTATAACTTGGAAAACGTGTACTTGAAATAATGCCATTTATATTGTCAATTGGGTTATTTGTGTCACAAATATCATATGTCGGTACATGTGATATATTTCCAATAGATCTACTTGGTACACATTGACTAGTTATATGTAAATAATCAGCATAATTATCTGAACAATATGCTAGTCGACGTCTAGTCGAGTATGCTAAATAACAGTTAGGAGCATCATTTCGACATTGTGTTATTGTAGCTAAGGCTTCTTGAGTACAATCACCTTGAACAAATCCACATTGATTTGATGCTTGTTTTTTAACACCATAAAAAGCGCCGATTATCATAAATGTATAACCAAGTGGACAGGTGTAACTAGATGAACGATCGAAACAAATATCACTTTCCACTTCATCACGTGCATACATGGCTGATTCGTTGACTAAAACTCCTGCGGTCGGCGTTATAAATGGTGTTGTTCGAATTGTTGTTCGAGGCGATGTTACACCAGGCTTACCACAAGCCAGCTCAGATGGGCGTTCGCTGCTTTCAATATATAATTCAACGCCAGAAGAAAGAAATGCTGCTTCATTATCAACAATATAACGAAAATCTAGCTCATTTGAACAACTTGCATAAAGTAAACTATATGAACGTTGTTCACAAAAAACTGAGCCTTCAGATTCACCATCATCAATAAATGTTATATTATTTTGTTTGCAATCATTTAAGAAACCATTTAAACTAACGTCAAGTCCATAAATATTCATAATATTGCCCGGATTCGTTTTTAATCGATATGTACAATTCATTCTTTTAAGATTTGGATAATTAAAACTTTGAAAACGACCACGTCGATTAATTTGTATTGGAACTTTGGAGCCATCTAATGGACATGAAGTATTTGGTGAAATAAGTTCAGTCTTTGTTGGTATGCATTGATACTCAACATATTGATAAGTAGCAATTTTATTACCACAGGATGGAATAATTCGATTTCCTGAATAGAAATATGTACAACTTTGACGACAGGCTAATGTTGGAGCTGTTGTAGCTACACAATGCTTAGCTGCATCATGGTCTTCACATAGACCAGATTGCGTAACACCAAATATATTTGTAATAACAACTATGCCATAATTACTTGGACATTGAATCACAGATGATTGACCTAAAAACAGAAAAATTTCCGATTGTTTTTCGTATTCATCAGATTAAATACTATACCTTGACAAAGTTGAAAACTTAGAACAGGTGATGCTATCCCAAGTAGGACGTACGGAGGTGTACTGGTAGTTATAATTTGATTAATAGTTGTTGTTGTGTCAGGTGTAGGTCGTACAGTTGTTACTGTTACATTAGAATTTGGGCAATTGTCGTTGGCAGGTCGATCAATAATATCATAGTACATTCTCATTCCACGATAGATTGAGAGTTGTGTTTTAACAAAATATTGAATAATAATTGTTGATGAACATATATATGGATATGAATATCGTACACGAGAACAATGTCGATATGTTTGGATACTATCAACAACATAGACATGATCGTTAACACAATTTCCAAGTAGTGAACCAATATATAGATCAGTGAGCCATAAACGAATTGTTTTGTTACGTGGTACTTGTATTGAACGAAAACATTCGGCTGTTGTTGTCTGAAATTGTGTTGGATAACCAGGACTTTTCAAAATACCATAATCACCTATAAGGTCTGCACTGTTTTGGCAAATATTATACTCTTTTGCCGGATCTTCCATTGATAATGGTACACAATCATATTCAACATGAAGATAATCGTTGAAGTTATCGTTACATTGTGGTAGTTTTTTTCGTGTTGCAAAGATACTACAGAAAACAGCATCTGTTGTGCATGCTATTGCACTCATTGCATCAGCAACACAATCTCCGGGTGTATAAGCACATGATCCAGCTATTTGTGCAACACCATATGAAGCACTTTTGACAATAACAACGTAATTTGCTGAACAACGAAGAGTCATCGTCGATGATGAACACGAATCTTGCGGCTGCATTGTTATAACAATTTGTCCATGGATACATGTTCCGATGAGAAAAATGTAACATAGCAAGGAAATATAAATATTTATGATGCTGGGCATAGCTATCAAACTGCTACACCTTTTTTTTGACTACTATTGACAAAAATCTAAATGTTTTGTAATAGTTAAGAATAATATTCGTGTGGCCCTCCTGAAAACATGAGTAATTGCGTATAATTGTTTCTCTTGCTTAAAGATAAACGAAACACTAAGCAAGGCACTATCATGTTGACCGTTTCAGTCTATCTTCTCTAGTTGACTATCGCATTATCATCTAAATAAAACATTTTTTCAATATCTGTGTTGCTTACATTAGAGTTCGATCTTTCTGCGAAAGAAAAAGAATGAAACTGAGAAAAGGACTTCTATGTGTCCTCTGAATGCGCCACGGAGATGTTGTAATCAAATACTAGGGTGTAAATGTGAATGCGAGCCGAGATAAGAGACATGTAACTAAGCGTTCTAATCTAAAAATCTGTCAACTGACTTAAATAAACTGGTGCTATCATTTACTGAGTATAACAGGGATGCACGGTGAATACTACGGGTTAAATGTCGATGTCTGACAATTCACTTGAATGATGAAGATTGCTCCTTGTTGTGGATGTGAGCTTTTACTCGTATGTCTTACAAGAGTCACGCACACCTTCTTGTTTCAACTACACTTGATACCAATTTTTACAACGTTATACTGATGTGTATAAAAATTAAACAAATAGGTTTTTCGAGAATTGATGACTTGTCTAGGAGATCATTTTTTGATTCGTTTGTGTTTTATTTCCTCATTCTTTTTTTAAAAGTAACAAAAGAACACTTGTGGATGCTCTTAACTGTTGTAAACATAGGAGTTTACTCTCGCCCACATTCACACAAAATATTCTGACAAGATTGAAGTGAAGTAACGAAAACAAATAGAAAATGATGAAAGTTACGATGATGATCTTCTGCTTGTGTTAGAAAAAGTAATAGAGAGCATCGAACGATGATGTCATGCGGATCAAAAGAACAAAAAAATGCAATAAAATGCGTTGATAAATCACAACATTGCATCTTGGTAAAAATTCAAATCAACCTTGTTTTCTTCAAATGGACATTAATATTTATTTTTTCTGTTCATCGACTATCACTCGTAGGACATACACATGACATTGCAGTGTTCACTTGTTCTTTTTATTTTATTTTAATTAATACCAAAATCATCATTTGTTGACAGTGATGATATTCTTGTTTCTGATGAAATACTCGACGTGAATACTGTGCCAAAGCAGACAAACACTTGGAAAAACGCATTTCTTCTGTTTTGTTAATGAGCGGTGATGACTCGTAATCACTGTTCCCGTTTAAGTATTTAAATGCGTTTTCCCAAACGTTTGTTCGCTCGGGTACAGTATGCTTTGTATTAGACATGCCATTCACATTTCTGGCAATATATATATATATATCCGTAGCAATATCTAAGGTCAATTAAATGTAATGCGAATGTGCATTTTATCGTTGAGCAACGAAAATGAAAAATCAATGCAATATTGAAAAAAATTGATTGTAACTAACATAGTTGATCTTATTGCAAACATGATAACTGTCTTTGCGCTTTTTTGTGTCTAGAATCCTTTAAAAAAGACATTTGAAACGAATCGTGTGTAATAGATTTTGTTGAAATGTTCAATAAATCTGAATGTAAAAACCACAACCTGTTCATTAATGACAGTTTTGAATCAATCGTACCATTTGTGTATCGCACTAAGACGAAACATCATATTTTATTACTTTAAAGCACCTGAAGTGCATGAAATATGAAGCGTCTGGTTGCTTCACTAATTATCTATCGCATATGATACTTTGTGGCACTTTGCTAGTTGCTGTTTATGACCAAGTGGCTCAAAAGAAGATCTATCGAGTTGTGTCCAACTAAAACTATACAGAACTCACTACCGACACCATCGTATTTAACCATAGATATAATCGACTCATTTAGGAGAATAAAAAACATTTTCATGACGCTTTATTATAGTTCCAGAATGATAAACTGTTACAAACAAAGCATTTAGTTCGCATAGTTTTAAGTTCAAACTCAAAAAGAAGTATCATTGACCGTTTAGTGTGTAACAAACACTTTACGCGTTTACCAATGGCCTGATTTGGCACCAACGCCACAACAATCGCTCCAGTGGACAGCGAAGAGTCTGAACTGCTACGTGTGCTTGTATGTGAATTAGTAACTATTCTTCCTTGTTTGTTTGGAGCAGCGGTCACCAAATATTCCGTTGCACTCGTGTTCATTATAAAATTCTATGTGGTGCTAACATTGTAAATCGACGACTCATTCTCTTGAACCAATGTATTGACATTATTTTGATCTTTTCTTAATGAATAATCTGTTGATAACTGTACTGCATCAGTTGTGCCTTCTAAAATATGGATACTTGGATACAGCGCAGCAGTATGAACTATACAGCCACCGTGACAAAACCTATAGAAAGAAATTTAAGAATTGTCTGTTAGATTTTGTTTTTGAAAACTAAAAAGTTAAGTCTTACAGAACACAAAACTTGTCATTGTGTAGTCATGGTTGAACAGAACGATAGGGTGTCTACTTGTATGAAACTGAAATGTATGAGTAATGAAAGCATGCATAAATGCTAGCTTATTTATATAACGACTTTGCTTGTGACAATTACGAACATCAGTCAATGCTTACATAAATAGTCTGGTATGAGTAATTTTATGATGAAAGGAAATCCAACCATAAAGAAAGAATTTTTCCTAAGATGATTGAATCACTGCACATGTGAATGTTGGAATTTACATATGGTGTAGATGTTGGCAAGCAGGAGCGACTAGTTTCATGTAAAATCGGATGATTTCGACTGTTGAAATAAGTTATTTCCTCCTTGTTTTCTTTTCTATCATCAATACCAGCTGACTTTGCCTACTTTTGATATATCATATGTCATACTCAAAAAAATGTGAAATAAAAACGATCGTTTTTAAATCCTGATATTATTGAAGATACGTTGGTTATGAATAAGTTAAGCAGCTGAATTTTACTTCAGATTTTCCAAAAGTAATTTTTTTTATTAAAAGCGGTTTCATATGAGAAAAGAGGAAATTTCTCTGAAAAAGCGGATTCTTTTTTAAATGTATATTTTTCATGGAAAAGCTTATATTATCGGTGTAACGTCATAGTTGCATCTCTACTCCTGATTCCATAGACAGAACGAGAGAGAGATACTATATAGGAAATGCACTGCAATCGAATGTGTCCTATTCTATGTATTATGTACGTAAAAACGGATATAATCTGCTCAATTGAACTTTGTGAACTGATGTGTTTTCGTGCCGTTTTAGAAACAAAATAATATCTTCGTCGCTCAAGAACATACCAAAATAGTTTCATTGGAAAATGATTTCTATAAGTTAACCTTTATTTCACATAGTAGAAAATTGTTGCTTTTATAATCATTCCTTACGAGCGCCTCCTGACGGAAAACATAAAATATTTTTTAATAACGTAACAAAATGAAATTGATTAATACTTGAATATTATTAAACTAAGAAACAATTAATTTATTATTGAATTCTCTTTACAAAACACGTGCACGTTGAAAGAGCATTTTGTTTTCTCATTTGTTTTCATTGAATATTAAAAAATTCTTTGTACTCCAGATGTCCTTCGATATGTAATATATATATCGGATGATTTCTTTATTCGTTGCTATTTTCTTCCAACCATTCTCAATTAAATCATTTTTCTTGGCAACCAAGATTACAACAAAGAAAGAGGTTTTTTCTAATATTTATTACCAATTCGATGACATCTGTATCAACGAGACCAATGGACTTTGAAGAAGAAGCAAGAAAAGCTCGCGAATGTTATATGTGTAAGATAATATTTTGTTTTTAATTTTATCTATGATGAAATTCAACTTCAATTTTATTTAGATGGTGATTATCAAAAGGGTATATCATTTTATAAATCAGCTATTGAAAAACTTCGACTATTTTGTCAAACATTATCGAACGAATCGGAAAAGAAACGTGGCAATGAGGTTGAGTCATTGACGAATTTCAATTCGAAATAGCTCGTTTTCTATTTGTTGTTATAGTGTATGGCTGAACTTAATCGAGAACTTCGATCAACAGAAGAACATGATCGAATGATTGATGACATCACTGAGAATTTCCTTAGAAAACCTAGGAATGGTAGCGATCGAGCAGCCGGTGGTGATGTAGATTATGATATCGATTTTGGAGTTCCTATTCATCATGCTGCTGTTGACGAACGCCCAACACGGGATCCTGGTTTCAATAATCGATTTGCACCACAAGCAGCTACTCCGTAAGACATCGAATCGAAGAATAATTTCATAGAATTTTTTATTTGGCATAGCTTTCAACAAGCACCTGCGCGTCCTCAACCAGTAGCTCGCGATGTACGATCAGCAAATAACGATCCACGAAGAAGAAATGCTCCGAGCAGTGCTTCTAATAATAAACAAAAACAACTGGATAATAAACGTGTTAATAATCAACCAAATAACGGAGTCAGTAATTTTATATTTTCCATCCAATGAACATCCATTTGTTTTTTCTTTGAAATGTTTTCTAGGAAAAAAAATATCAACCTGTAGGCGCAGAAAAAGATCTAGTAGAAGGTCTAGAACGTGATATTGTTCAAAAAGATCCAAATGTTCGATGGTACTATAGATTTAACTTTTTTTTATCCGAGAAAATATTGATGTGAATAGTAAAATACATTATCAGCAATAATAGCCTGTGTAATCTACACATGTTCGATTAAATAATCATTTTGAGAGCAAGACCTAAACTTTAGTCTAAAATCGACAATAGTGAATTCTTCTGTTATTAATTGAAATTTACCAGTTTTTGTATTTTTATTTTTTGTTCAGGGCGGATGTTGCTGGTTGTACAGCTGCAAAAAAATTATTGCAAGAAGCTGTTGTACTACCACGTTTTATGCCAGATTTTTTCAAAGGCATTCGTCGTCCATGGAAGGTATGCTTACATTTTCCTTGATTTAATGTCGATTGTTTTTTAATTACTAGGGAATTCTTCTATTTGGTCCACCCGGTACGGGAAAAACTATGTTAGCTAAAGCAGTAGCAACGGAGTGTAAAACAACATTTTTCAATGTCGCGGCTGCAAATTTAACATCGAAATATCATGGTGAAGGCGAAAAACTTGTTCGTCTACTATTTGAAATGGCTAAATTCTATGCACCATCAACGGTATTTATTGATGAAATTGATTCTCTATGTTCTGCTCGTGGCCAATCAAATGAACATGAAGCTAGTCGACGAGCGAAATCTGAATTACTTATTCAAATGGATGGTGTAACCGGTGCTGTTGGTAATGATTTTTGTTTTACTTGATTTCAACGCGAAATTCTGTTGATTTATAGGAGGTGACGATGTATCAAAGATGGTAATGGTACTTGGTGCGACTAATCATCCTTGGGACCTTGATGATGCTATGCGACGACGTTTAGAGAAACGTATTTACATTCCATTGCCAGACATGGAAACGCGACAACAATTACTTCAAATCAACCTTAAAGAAGTTCAACTCCATGGTGATGTCGATTTGAATGGTATTGCACAAAAACTTGATGGTTATTCTGGTTCAGATATAACCAGTGTTTGCCGGTAAGTTTTATTGGCTCATTATATACATATTTTTGCATTTCTTAAAATATAATTTAGAGATGCAGCTATGATGCAAATGCGTCGTGCAACAGAAAATTTAAGTATGACTCAAATTCAGGAACAAGCACAAGTTTTAAAAGAAAAACTTCAATTGCCGACAATAATGAAAGATTTTGAAGATGCTATTTCGAAAATTTCCTCATCAGTGTCAAAAGATATGCTCGAAAAATACGATAAATGGATGAAAGATTTTGGCTCAGTCTAATATATTTTATTATTGTTTTTATTCGTTCGCCAATAGCAATCTGATTTGTTGTTGTTGTGTTTTTTGATATATATGGCAGTGATCAAAACATTTATATATGGGTGTGTCTGTAAAAAAAATCTTTTTTTATTATTAAAATATTTCTCCATACGTTAATCTCTATATAATACATATGTTGATAGTTGTATCCATCTATTATCAAGTGATTGCGCCTATTTTTGCATGCGGTTTTACAGATATAACATCTCTCCTCCTGCCTAGTGTTGATGGATATCAAGTAAATAGCAATTGCTTTTGTTTTTGTTATTGGTATTTTGTATATGTTCTAGTTAGAGAGAAAACGGAAAAGAAAAAAGAAAAAAAAACCACAGGGTAGCGTTCTGTTCTTTTTCTGTTGATATCCAAGGTCTTCTAATGCTTGCCGGGTTTTCTGTTTTATCCAATATTAAATATAGAATAGATTGATAATTGTATGTAAAGAGCGAGAAGAAGAGGAAAAATAGTGCATGAGCTTTGTCTCTTATCGAATAACAACATAATTCATCTTTCCTATATTCTTCTTCGTCGAGCCTACAAGCTACTAGTGGAGATACAATTTATCTCCGCACAGATTTATCGTCGAACAAGTCAACAATAGGAAGTATTCTATTGTTTATAAAAAAAAAATCAAAAGGTATTGCAGTGATGGTCTTATTTGAGTGACACTGACTAAGAATATTCGATTATAATTATATACAAATATACATTATCTTTACTATATCTTTTCTTAAGTCTAATAACGTACGCGAGGGAATATAGCGCTGCTAAAAAAGTCGGAATATAGAACAGCACAAACAGAAGATGAAGGAGAGAGAGAAAGGAGATTCTTATAGAAAATAATAGAAGACGTATTTTTCATCTATATTGTCAATCATCCGACGTACACGGCTGGATGTTTTATTAGACAGACATCAACGATATGATCATCATTACTATTTATCAACACCCAAGTCGGCAGCAGTAGTCAACAACTTCTTTTCTATTTTTTTACTTGCTTAGGGAAAGACATTCGTGCGTGTGCAGGCACATAGATAATTACCAAACGAAACATGGATCTTTCCCTTTTTTACTTCCTATTTACCATATTTATACTACTGCCAACAGCTGATCAAGCAGAAGTAAAAATGCATTGCTTTCTTTTTACATTATTTTATTATCGATTTTTGAATACATTCTAGTTTAATCTTGACTCATGTCCAACGTCTCGTCGTTTGTTATTCTTTGGTAGATTTAATTTTTCTCTAGGAGAAAAGAAAGTTGATCATGTTTCGTCATTGTTAAAATCATCATCATCACCGTCGAAACATGTTCGAAGAGATCAAAAGCCTGGCGTCACAGTAGTTTATGTTCGACCACAAACTTCAAGTGAACTTGGTAAAAAAGTTCGTTCCTTTAGTCATTTACTTAAACCAAAATTGGTTAAGAAAGAAGAACAAACAACAGTAAAGAATATTAAACTTCAACAGAAGAAAACAAAAGTTAAAAAAGCAATACAAAAGAAAAAAGCAACTCAACATAATACGAAAACTCGAGATTTAGTTGCTATTAACGATGAAGAACGTGATCGATGTCGAGCATTACTTCATATCGACCAGGAAACTATTGTAACGCCAATAAAAAAGTCAAAGAAAACAAAAGATCCAAAGAAATTAAAACCATCCAAAGAACGCAATGTGACAACAGAAGCAAAGATAAAAGTTGTTACTCCAACTAAACCTTTGCCTGTAAAAAACGATAAACAGAAATCTCAAAAATCAAAACCTGAAAAAGTCAATACCAAATCCACTTCAAATGAGAAGAAAAAACCTACGAATAAACCGAGTGAGACTCAACCACTCACTCCACCACTACCACCGCCCACTATCAATCAAGCACCTAAAAAACCTCAAACCCCTCCACCAACTCCACCGAAGTCTTCGACTCCTCCCCTTCCTCCTCCACCGCCACCTATTTCGCAAACGTCAACAAAATCAAAACGAGAAAAAGCGCCGCCCAACATTGCAGCACCATCAGATGTCAACGAAGAGATTAATATTGATCATAATGAAAAAAATAATTCAGTTGTTGATCGAGCTTATCATTTCGTTCGAAATATGTTTCAATTATCTGATGATATACTCGAAAATAATTATACGCATGACGACGATCAAATTCTTTCTTCAATAAATGAAGAACAACATCGCCAATCCCGTAAATTACTTTCTATTGATGATGAGGAAGAAATTATTTTAAATGATAATGATAGACATGATTGGGATTTCGATGAATTAAATGAGAAACCATCTTTTGTATCATTTAATGAATTACAATTGTCATATGTTAATGTATTGAAACGACAATTATTATCTGTCAAAAAAACTAAAGGTTCAATACCAACAGAAGATTCTTTTATTAGATCAAAAAAAACGAATTCCGCTGCAAATAAACCAAAAGTTGGCTGGACTTATCGTTATCGTATATCACGTTTTCTAGCTGATAAAAAATCTAAACGTTCTGTTCATGATAGAAAACCAATTGGAGGAGGAAAAATTCATCCGCCATCAGCGATTAATAAGAAGATAAGTTCTTCGGCTCATACAAAATTTTCCAAACGTAAACTTCTTGGATTCGAAAGCGATGATGAGTCTGATTCGCATACTAATTATATGTAAGTCAATTGACATTTTCCTTTTCCGAGAAAAACATTAGGAAATAAAAATAAATTAAAAAGCAGATCAATATCAGCATGAAAAATGAGAGATCAAGGCATATTTTTACAGTTTATATGACTTATTATGATAGTTGTGTGTGAGGTTCGTAAGGATAAACACTAAGTAGATGTTGTTGCCTTTTTATCTTCGTAAATCATCATATATCTCTGTTTACGGTCGTGCCTACTTCACTGGCACGTTCTGTGACATTTACAACAACAATTCTTTTTTTTTGTAGCAGGGACTCTGTCGCCAAGAGGCTGATATTACAGGTTTTCATCCTTAATGTCAAGACTTCCATGCATATTGACAAGATAGTATGTTTATTCAAAAAACATTGTTTTTCATCCATGATTATTTCAACTTTTGACAGTTGTGGTCATTAGTAATTCTATCGTGAACTTTTCCTCTCTCTTGTTGATCATTTGTGGAGATTCAAAAACGATAAATGCTTGAATAACACCGACTTAATCATATCTAATAGGGAAGGGAAGCGTTGCACATCAGATCGATTAAGCATCAATATATTTATCATTTAGATCTGCCATTAATTAGAAGTCGAAGTAAATTCCATCAAACATTATGTAGATACACACACACACATATATGTATATATATATATATATATATATATATATATGTATAGAGTTATTTCGAGCACAGAACTGACAAGAAAAATAAATACAAGCGGTCTAACTCAAGGAAAAACAACGTATCTCTTTAGCGAAGCAGAAAAGAAATCGTTCCATAAATATCGATTCATCGCCGACGGATATACATCGATCAATGTTTCATACAGGAGATTAGAGTATTGTTTCGAAATTTACGCATGATGGATAAGTTTACACTCGATATAGCTATAATTAATTTTGACATGTTTTTGTACGTTTAACAGAGTCGAGCTTTAGTAGAATAACTTAGATAAATATTATGAGATATACAAGAGTCAATTTGTACTATTTTATTAGATCAAATGAAGATATTGTCAATACTGTAAGCATCACACAAGACTTTGTTCCTAAACGACAATTGTTTGCTGCGAAAAAAGTCGTTGTTCATGAAGAAGAAACCGAGGATGAACACAATATTGAGAAAGTTAATGAACGTCGTCGTAAAAAATCATATGAAGAAATCACTGATCCGGTTGAAATTGTTAGTTCATATGAACGTGGTTTATTTAAGCCTCGTGTTGGTTGGCAATTTCGCTATCGTGTATCGCGTTATATTGATAGTTTACGTCAAAATATTCGTGAAGATCAAGAACGTTTAAAATTAGGTTTAGAAGCAATCAAACGTAAAACACCACAAGAATTAAGTGGAAGACGTAAACGTGTTTTAGATAAACCGTTTGCATCTGAAGAACAAGAAGTAGCACCTCCTGCTGAGGTAAAAAGACTAAACTATTCTTGAAAGCAGAGAAAAAAGTAGAAAAAATATTCATGTTTTTTTTTTGTTGTATAGGACAATAAGCCTACTGTAGGCTGGCGCTACCGATATCGTATAAGTAAAATGTTAGAAGCTAAAGCACGTGGTGAATATATTGACGATGAAGAAGAGAAACGTCAAGCACGTCTTGATCCACAACGTAAACAATCGGGTCTTGGTAAGCCTATTAATGACGACGATGAATGTGTTGAATGGGAATATGATAATCTTGACCCTGAATTACGTAAGATCAGCGAAGAAGGTCGACGTGTTGGATGGGCATATCGATATCGTGTTCGTCGTAAACTTGATGAATTGAAACGGCAACAAGCAGGTAACTTAGAGAAGTTAAAGGATGACTCTTGTTTTCTTATTTTGAATATATTAGAAAATGGAATCGCATTTGATTTGGAAACACTTACGAGTGAACTTGATAAGAAAGAAGCTACAACTCCAACAATTACAACAGCTGTGCCGACTGAAAGCGAAGCTGAAGTGAATAAGAAGAGTGTCGGATGGCAATATCGTTATCGTGTTTCGAAAATGTTAGAAGCACAAAAACGTGAAGCAGCCGAAGCACAATTAAAAGACAAAAAAGACGATCATGTACCTTTACATGAACGACTGGACCCGGAATTAGCACGATTAACACCAGAAGAACGAGCTGTTGGATGGCAATATCGGTTAGTTAAAATATTTAATTTTCTAGTTTTCAGAATTTCATCTTTTTCAGTTATCGTATTCGACGTAAACTTGATGCTATCAAAGATGCTACACGAGAAAGTCAAGCTGGCAAACATAGAAAGCACAGAAGAGACAAAGAAAAAATTCTTAAAAAAGTCGAAGAATCTATTGAAACGATTCTTAACATTGACGATATTGATGAAACACCATTCATGGAATATTTTCGTCGTAGTTCAAGTTATATTTTATTTGGTCTACTGCCAGCAGGGCGAAAATCGATATGTCTCTTGCCATTGCCTGTGAAATTCTCATTTTGCTATGAAAATGCAGAGGTTACAGATACACTAGCTTCTACTACGACAACAACAACTTCTACAACAACAACAGCAGAAACTGATTTCACAAAACGAACTTCATCGAAGAAAACACGAACAAAAAAAGAAAAACGATCACCAAAACAATCAGTACCTTCTAGTTCGATTAAATCTGGTACGTCCGATGAAACTATTGTAGAATCAGTCGTCAAACCTGTATCTAAAACACCGGTGAAAACTATTGAGAAACCACAGAAAAAACCAGTTCGTCAACGATTGCAATCATCTACACGATATCAAAATGATGAACAAGTGAGACATTTTGATGAGGAAGAACAACCAATTAAAAAAGTAATTGGTGTTGATTCACAAAGAAACAAAAATAAAAAACAAAATCAAATCATTGGTAAAGAAGTCAAAGTTAAACAGAAAAATTCACAAACAACTCCTCTACCTGTTACCACAACCACTTCGTCTAGCCGAATAAAAACGGCAACATCGAGTCCAGTTGTAGAAGCTCCTGTAACAAAACCCACGCCCAAAACAACTACTGCTCCTCCTCCTCCTCCTCCAGCTGTCGAAACTCCTTTATCTACAACTACTCCTGCACCACTTCGTTCTATCTCCGAGATCATCCAAGAAGAAGCAACGACCTTTGTGACAACAAAAGCAACATATCCTGAAGAAACAGCAGAAGAAATCAACGAAGCGAATGAAAATTTGCAACTAACGATAACAACAACAACAACAATAACATCGACGCCGTCCCCACCATCGAATGATAATGCATTGTCCGATGAAGATGACAGTGAATCAAGTCTAAGTGATACTGACAGTGACAGCGACAGTGACAGTGACAGTGAGAGTTCTTCAACTGAAGACTCAAACGATACCGATGATAATGCTGATTTATCGCCTATGAAAAAAATGAAACAAATGTATGAGAATGCGAAAGAGAGTGTGCAGGATGTCTTTGATTTACAAGATGAAAAAGATAGCTCGTAGAACAATTAGGTTCATTTTTTTTTTTATTAAAAGAAAATGAGAAATAAATATTCTATATAGGAAACCCAATATATCAAGTTCGTTACAATTATTACAAGCTACAACTTTTTTAAGCTAATAATCGTGTATCATTATTTTTAAATACTTTCTATGCGAGAGCTTTCCGATATAGATGATACTAATGAATCATCGAAATAATTGATTATTTCACTAGAATCAAGATATTCAATTGGGATTTGTTTATGAATTCGTGTTGGACGACTACAATTCATATAAACGATGATCAAAACCATCACGATTACCACTACCAAAGCAAAACTGATCATGATTGAGAACAGAATTACTAATTTATTGATGAATTTCATTGAATTATTTTGTTTGCTAACAGATATAATCGTAACATTGGTCATGTCTTTTTCAGTTCAATATCAATTTGATTAAAGATAAACAAATTTGTTTTCATTTAAATATAATTATTTATGTCAATGGTGATAACTTAAAAAGATCTCTTCGATATAGAATAAATATTGATTGAATGTAGAAATAACCATCAGCTTATAGGGAGAGGTGAATTTTGAACGGAAATTGAAATATGCTTCAAATACTAAACGATAGAAAAGTTTAATACGCAAACAAAAATACCCGCCCTTCATTCTTCTTGTTAACATATGATATATAAGAATCTTTACCAAAAATCACAATCAAACAAAAGTTTTCATTTCGTCAAGATACCAATGTTTATTTCGTTGGAATGTATTAATAGTTATCACAGAAAGCATGGAAATTCCATACGTATAAAAAATTCAGTCAAGTATTTCAACCTATTAGTAAATCATAAAATTCAATGAGAATTCGATTTAGTGAAAGATTAGATTGCGATAGTTGAACAAGTCTTTGTCATTTTCATTTTGTCTTCTATTAACTAAGTAATTGAGTTTTCTAGGTGTGTGTGGGTGTGTGGGCGGGTAATCAACTCAGATGGTTCCAAGTCAGATGGAGTTAATTAATCAAATCACTATTAAAGTAGCTAGTTAGGATAAAATTTGATTCGATATTTTTCGGTCAAGATTTTTATTCGGCGAAGTTGGAGTCGGCGAAAATAAAATTCGGCGAAGCTGTACTAATTCTTTTATTATTAATAGAGAATTGAATACGATAGGAATTATTCTCTCATTGAATCATTTAACATATTCAAAACTGAATGTGAAGGAAAACAATAACTGATATAAGCTAATAAGTTTAGATCTATTTAAAAATTAAACGAAAACTAAAAAATATATTCTACCTAATATATTATACTTCGTCACTAATTGAATAAGACTTGAAGAGACCATCTAACGATAAGAGATCGCAAAACAATAGTTAACTAAATTCTATGCTTCATTTGAATATATATGTCGGAGTTGACTTTAAAATGTATGATGATAAAGTTGTTATGCATTAATCAATAATGAATATAGTTTTTAACTGATGGAAAATTTTCTGTCTGAATTTAACAAAGCATTAGTTATAAACTATCGAACTATCATTATATTTAATAATGAAGGATTTTGTTTTAATCAAAACTAGATGCTTATTTACATGTGTTGGATATTGAACGAAAAGCGAAGCGCTTAAGGGTGTAGGTGCGAGCGTGAGTAAATCTGAACATAGTAGAACACCCACACCCACAATAGAAAACAGGCTCCTATAAGAAAAATATTTGAAAATGCTATAAAATATGTCATAGGGATAAACATGCAAGGTGTAGGATTTGTTAAATCATTTTTTGTATATTAATAATGGATTCTAGACTTTTTTGTTTACTATCCCAGGTCGAACATTCCGGTCTGGAAACGGCCGGTTCCGGGTAGCTCCGTTGATTTTGTGGAAGCAGCATTCCGGTTGGAAAATTTTCCGGTCAATTCCTGCCGGAAAAGTCCGGCCGTATTTTTTATCGGAATACTGCTTGCAAGTTCCAGCGATTTCCCGTGTTTTCCTGCAGGATATGGTGACTTTCCCGCATATTTTCTGGAGTATCCTAAAGGATCCGGTGGCCGGAATGTTCGATCTGGGATAGTTATATTTTCTGAAACTCACATATACTTTTGAAGAAAATGGCAAGTGTAAGGTTAAGCGCAAGATTTTTGTGGCTCCTTCTCCTTTCGATTGCACACATTAACAAACGTGCAAAAACTAAATAAGACATTTTATTCTACCGATCGATTGTCTTGCAACATATTTCACAGTTTTCGTATTGTGTAGCAGTAGAATTAGGTGAAAAGTCATATGTGATGAGACGTGGCCAAGTTCCCAGAAGTCGGGAACTCTTCGGGAATTCGGAACTCCAAAATAAATAAGCGACAACGAGGAATGTGAAACCACAGCACGTGAAGCATCTCAGGGAAGTCAAGGAGCTCTGGGAAGCCAGGGAAACCAAGGAACTGTGCGAAGTCAGGGAAACCAAGGAGCTCTGGGAAGCCAGGGAAGTCAAGGAAGTTAGGGAAACCAGGGAACTCTGGGAAATCAGGGAAGCCAGGGAAGTCAAGGAAGTTAGGGAAACCAAGGAAATCTGGGAAGCCATGGAAACCAAGGAACTCTGGGAAGTCATGGAAACCAAGGAACTCTGGGAAGTCAGGGAAGCCAGGGAAGTTAGGGAAACCAAGGAACTCCGGGAAGTCAGGGAAACCAGGGAACTCTGGGAAGCCAGGGAAGTCAAGGAACTCTGGGAAGTCAAGATACAGTGTAAGTGTATGTATCAAGGAATGTAGTGGAAGACACCCACAGCTACACCCATTCACACCTACAGCACACCCACACTACATCCACAGCAGACCCACACTACACTCACACTGCATCCACAGCACACCCACACTACATTCACAGCACACCCACACTACGTCCACAACACACACGCACTACACCCACAATACATCCAGAACACATCCACACCCATACTCCCAGAGTTCCTCGGCGTCCCAGAGTTCCTTGAATTCCCTGAATTCCTTTGAGTCCCTGGTAACATTGCTATGCTTTGGTTTATCATCACTTACTCCTGTTCATTCATTTTCGAGTTCCCAATTTCCAGCGAATTCCCGACTTCTGGGAACTTGGACACTGCGGATCTAATCTATTAAATAAATGTTATTTATCATATTAATAACAATTTTATCATCATACATTTTAAAATCAACTAAGTCCATCCTAGTTGATTTTAATGCCAACTGCATTTTAGAGTCAACTCCGATATATATATATATATATATATATATAGCTATATCGAATTTCATCATATTAAAATTTATTTTGAATCAACCTTATATATTAGCTTTCACAATATTACAAACTAGCAAAACATCCTTTGTACACATTTTCATTCAAACGATCTTCAACAAAGTTGCCAGAACCCGACCGTGCGGCATCTTCCCTCAATACTCGTTCATTTGGATCTTGATCGACGACGATTATCCATGATTGGATTTGTTGCTCTTTGCGAACACAAAACTCATCTGCACCCCGATCATGTTCAAAATAAACTGTATCGTAGTCAGTGGGTACTGTTGGGTTTCTTGTTTTTGTGCGAAATGTTTTACCCAGACCAACTTTTGCGCATATGTACGTACCATATTGCTGAGCTTTAAATTCTGTATGGTCAAGCGATGTTGCAAAATATACACCTGGTCCCAACATGCCTTTTTTCGAAGGTTTAAAGCCTGTCTTTGCAATAGAATAAGCTGCTTTATGGTCGGTTTGATGGAAACCAACCACTTCCTGATTTTCTGTTGCTTTCTCTGGTGGATAACGCTGATTTCCCGAATGATACATAAGAACATGGTACAGATTTCGCGATTTACACTTATCTTTCTTTGGGCATTGGGTCTGCTGCCAATGACTTGTTTGTTGATCGTTCAACATTGCCATAGGTAAAAAGCCTCGGTGGCGGGAACAATACGTTGGTTTCTTCTTTTCAGATGAATCTGGCCGATAATCCAACCACAAACGATACAGATGAAGAAATTCAACAACTAGCGTAAAAATAGATGGTACAAATGAAAAAGCAGCTACAATGCAATATCCTAATCCGTGCGGCCCATACTGGTTTGCGCATGCACATGCAAGTACGAATGCGATAAATTTCAAAAGTTCAAAAAAGACTAAGGTAAAAAGTCGAGTACACATAATCGTTTGAGGATGTTCTAGGTGACAATCACATCGCACACATGTTATAGTCGCTAGACGCCAGGCAAACGACTGTGAACAGCATAGCATTTTGTTACGATCGGTTTCGAATATAATTGGACCAATATAACGCAGTAAGACATAGAGAATATTTGAAAATAGGAGTATAACGGATGCGCCTAAATCCAAAAGTAATATAGGTACCAAATAGCCTTCTGCGTCACTACTAGCTGATGATATATCAGCGCATATGATAATAAAGCGTACGAGAAAAGCGATCGTGTTTATTAAGTGTAAACTCAAAAGATACTGAAAACGTTCCAAATCGTCTTTGAGCCACATATAATCTATAAAAACTCATCAATAATAATATTTCAGTGTGGTATGTTTAAAGTCATATTTTAAAACAAGATTTAAGCAATTCTACGCGTACATGATGAGCACCCAAATATCCACTGGTGGTCATTGTTTTTATAATATATTCAAATTCTCATTAAATAACTGTATTTTAGGAGTTTTACTAATCATTATGTGATTTACTACGAACAGAAACTTCACGAAAGTCGTTTTCGACATTGACTATTTATTGTCAATAAAAATTGCATAAAATGCTTCGCAAATAATCATAAACTTTATTTGATAAAGATATAAATTAAGGAAATATCTTGATTCATCTTGATGAGCATGTGAAGTTACTTTTTATTAATAATCATTGCACAAACTTCGGCTTAAAGTGGTCTTCGCATGATTACAAAGTGAATGGTTATAAACAGTAGAATAGACTTACCTATAAGGCTCATATGAAAATATCTCAAAAATGGAGAGAATCAATCTACCTCGTCGGGCGTTTTTACAAACCTCAATGCCATTTAACCTAAAATTAGGTTGTGCCTACAAAGCAACGGGGTATGTCAGTAATTCTGCAAAAGACATGATACATAACAGTAAAGAGAAAATCATAGCAGTAATTTACATAATAATTTTTTTTTTACTTCAGTTCTGTTTCGCATTTCTATTTTTTATTATCATGTGTGTGAATTGTGCTTCTCGCAGTTAAGCATTTTTATTTACTTAAAACTTTCTCATACATTCCGCAGCCATGACAAAAATAAGTGTCCTTCACTCCTGTCATTCACTTTCATGACATGAAAAACAACTCAATTACTCATTTCTTATAAATCTCTGACTATTTTCCTACATACTCAATTTTTTTCTCCAACTTCTATTCTTCCTTTTGACACTCAACTGACGGAATTTTTAGAAATCTGGACACTAAATTTTATGTTTTGTGTTCATGGAAGATACGCTTGAGAATTCAGGCATCATCTGTTCGATGGGAAATCATCACAAATGCCCTAGTCAACATGTTTATATAAGAGAAGATGTTAACTGTTTGCTCAGCAAGAAATGTTTTTAGTGACGCATCTGTCTTTTCCCAATATCCTGACAATAAGAATGGTATGCAATGTTTTACTTTTATGTGACTCAATCATTAAAAGTTTCATTAGATGACTTCAGACAAGTGAGATTTAACGAATGGTTGTCACATAGCCATAGATTCGCAGAAAGAAATCATTGCAAACAGAAAATAAAGGGGTTGTGTATGGTACATATGATGAATAACTAAAATTCGCACTCATACAAAAACACTCATTACTATGTTGAAGGATGAATGTACTCGTGGGTAGAGGTGTCAGCTGTACGGCTGAGTCGCCGCAGCCATCAAATTACTGATAATTTTAAGAATTTTTTGGGAGCCACCGCTACGAAAAAATAAGTTTAGCCATTGCGCCGCTGCAAGAGATAAACATTTTTGATAGCGTCACCCGCCGCCGCTGACTTCAATTCATATACGATCAAATCGAATATTTTTGTTTTAATTCTCATCAGTGAATTTTTAACTCAGCCGCCGCCGTCACGTAATGACTCACAAATATCAGCTGGCGCCGCCGCTGTGGAAGCAATTTTAAGAATTTGTAGTCGCTGCCGCTGAAGATATTACTTGTCAGATAAGGAGTCGGTGGAAACCTTCAAAAATTGAAAATTGTTGCCCGCCGCCGTCGTTCAACCCTTCGGCTGACACCTCTAATTTTCGGTCTCAGGGTGTGGATATGAATCTCATTTTGACTGCCAGTAGTCCCACTCATAAACGTCTTATTGTATTTCTAAGATAAGTTTCGATTAATTCGACTCATTTTAAAAGTCTAACAATGAGAATTATAGTAAAGCTCAATTTTTTCACTTCTGTACCCCGGTTGAACAAGCACGATCGTAAACGGCTGTATACGGAGAAATACGGCGAAATACATGACTCAGTATTACGATCGTATATCTCCGTGTCGTATACAGAGAAATGCAACCATATATGAAGGAAAAAACGATGTTTTACGATTCTTGTACACGGAGTCCGTATACGATCTCCGTCTTGCTCCGTATTTTCCCGTATATGGTCGTATTTCTTCGTATATGACACAGCGATATACGATCGTATTACTGAGCCATGTATTACTGCCAAATACGATCGTATACGGTCGTTTACGACCGTATATGGACTCTGTAAACCTCGACTGTAACGATTTTTGAGTTTATTATCCAAAAGAATGCCTCTCCTTCCTCTCATCCACTCTTCATATAGCAATCGTGGAACGGGAGAAAGAGAGAAAGTATCTTATACAGAGAACGGAATAAGAACAATCATTGAGTATGAACAAGAACGATCGAGACATAAGATAAACTTATTAGTGATATATACTCATATAGCGCAAAAGGTTATAGTGAGCATGATGAACAATAGACGCGTGATACGGTAATTAGCACTAGATGAATATGGAAGAGTAAAGAGTAGCATATTAGACAACAGCGAATGATATGATAAGTTAAAACAGCAAACAGAAACAATCATTGCAAACGACAGTGACAGTATATAATGATGCATAACATGTTCAAGCAGGGTTGTCACATCTACCTGGGCAGGAGTATTTTTTATTCAAAAGCACCCAGGCCATGGAGGTACGGCGGGAAATGGCCGGAAAGCGCGAGAAAGCGCTGGAAAGTGGAAGCAGTATTCCAGTCGGAAATTATCGGATTTTTTTCCTGCGGATTCTGGTCAACTTCCAGCTGAAAAGCACAGGAAACTGATCGGAATCCACAGGAAAAAATCCGATAACTTCCAGCCGGAATACTGCTTCCACTTTCCAGCGCTTTCCCGTGCTTTCCGGCCAGATACGGTGATTTTTTCGCATCTTTTCGGCCGGTTCCTATAGTATCCATCCTCCGGAATCATTGATCTGGGCAGTCACGTAATGATCCCACACGAAGTATATAGCATTAAAAAAAAATACGCAATCGCGTTTTTGTAGATCATTTTGTATGATTCCAGTGAGACAGCTAAGTGTGATAATGAAACACATGAAAAGAAATAGCCTACTTACTTTCGCGTACTTTAGCTTATTTGTCACAACCTGTTGAGTATCTGATTGATATAATATTCTCAGTGGATTATTAATACTTTTTAAAATTCTTTTCGTAGATTTAATAGCGGATCTATACGAATAAATTCATGCTGTAATAAGGAAATCATTGCTACCATCACAAGTACATTATATTGACTAAATATAGTCACAAATGTGTTGTCGTTGTTGTCATTCACTTTTACGTAAGCCGATCAATTTACTCTACGATCCATATCGATATCGAGCATTCTTGATTTTCTATTCAGTCGATGTGGTATTATTTATTATTCGATTAGCTCTCGTTAGCAATGATCTTTCTGCAAATGCTCCTACGACAAAAGATTATCTCGTTCCTATTTTAATATTTGACTTAATTGCATCGGTACCTCTGATAATTTGTAACTCAATTTATATTGTAATGCGTCATTTTATCGTAGAATTATTTGGTATAAAACCTTCAAATCAATTTTTTTGGCGTTTAGCAACAATGACCTGTTTTCGATTTGATTTTTCCATTGAACATCCTCAACTAATATTATTAACGCGTGTATTTCTTGTTATCAGCTTTTTCCTTCTACGTTTTATGTGCTTTGTTATTGGTGCCTCGTGTTCAGCTCGTTTTAAATCTCAATGTACAGCATATACAGTTTTTGCTGCGTTTACTTTGGCCAATCTTCTTCTTATTATTGTTGTCGAATTTATTCACTATTTTCGTTTATGGACTTACAATCCGACAAAAATAAGCAATAATCCTGATGGTACAAAATTCACTAGTATATATTCTGACGCAGTGATAGAAAAAACGCATCGATGTCATCTTCGTTTCATTCATTATTCAATGATCAATGATCAAAATGCCTCTGGATTCCGACGATCACTTTGTTCGAAAGGCGCTGAATGTCGCTCGGAGAGTCTTCATCATCAATTAATCTATCACTCGCTTGAATCATCACGTCAAGTTCCAAATATAATAAATAATAATGATGGGAAGCAAACTGTTATTGCATTTTATGAAACAACAAAAGAAAATATGTTGACAATTGTTAAAAACGGGTTTCCAAAGGGAGATAATTTGCCACTTGAACAAAGCATCTTTTTTACGCCATCGATTAAATCAAGCTTAGACATTGACAAAGCTATTTTATGTGTTCGCATCAATTTGGGTCGATTTGAAATAATCGGCAATGGTCCTGTAAACCTAAATCACTATTTTCAGGGAGCGGATGGTTTAAAAGATACAATTTATGTTACGAGTGACTCGCGATTTTATCTTCGAATGACAGGACAAATAGAGAAATGGATTGTTATGGTTTCTAAAGGAACGACAGTAAATGATCAGCTGGATAATAATTATTATGTAGGCTGCTTTTCTTAGATATTAATTTTTATTTTACAAAACTCTTGAATAAGCATTGGTTGATTGAAATTAATTTTCGTACATAAGTATATATTAATATGTATTTAAATTTCTATTATTTATCTTGTCTTTAATAAATTTTCCATGGAACCTAAACAAGTTTTAGATGTAGATATTTGGATTACGTGACTTATAAAGTCGTTAAGTCATATGACCATGGATATTAAAAGTGTGAGTTCCATATTATGAAAAAACTTGACAAAATGCAACCGAATCCAAATTGAACTTAGCTGAATTTGAATTTAAAGTTTATTGAACTATTAAAATTTATTGATCAATACATGTTTTCATATGAGTTCAGAAGTACATGTCTTGTTCATAAGTTTCTTTTAGCATAGAAGCAAAATCGGAACATCATTCTTCAAGAATTTATATATAATATTATTAAGATATATTTATTAGTTGTTCAATAAAAGCTACACCTAAGGATTTTTGAGTATAATTAAAAATATGGCTTCTAATTGATATAATTTTAATTTTTTTCCTCACTACAGAACTACTGTCTTACATGAAATATTTGCAAAGCAAAAACGTTTCAATTGTATAAGAAGCAATTAATGTGAATAGATTTAACAATATTGTCATAGTGGTTAGCTCATTTTTTTATCTCTAATCTTGGCAACACTTCATCAGCAATAAATTGAACAACGAATGGTTTAATAGTATTCCAGACGAATCGCCGAGCAACTAAGAAGCCAACAAGCGTGTAGCCAATACGGCGGGCAATTTGTAAAGTACGATCCTGTCGCTGACGTAGTGCCATACATTGATGATATGGAATTCGTGTGAATGTCACCATAGTATACAACGGTATCCACCAATGAGGAAATAATCTGTATAGAAAGTTGTCGATCTTTTTTCGCCAATGGAAGGAGCGCAGTGTGACTAAATGTGTCATTTCACGATGGTTGTACATAGACAAGTCGACTATGGCGTGAGTATCGCATACACGAGCGTCACTAGAGAAATCAGAAATCTCTATAAACAAAAGCATCTCTGGTGTTCTAACAGACTTACTTGTACGAAGCAAATGCTTTCGGAAGGTCAAAATCATTTTCTCTTAGTTTATCGAATAGAACGATACAATCTTCAAATGCTGAATTCATACCTTGAGCATAGAAGGGTGCCATTGAATGAGCAGCATCGCCCATGAGAAGCATATCACCACGATATGTTGCATGTGGTTCACATTTGGTAGAGATCAATGGTTGAGGTTTCGATGAAAAGAATGTTTCAACAATCTCTTTCGTACCAATGAATGACACTGCATCGGGAAAATACTGACCAAAAAAGTTTAACACATCATCAGCCGTTTTTAATTTTCGAAATATCGAAATTGGTAAGAAAAGTGTTGTTGTAAATGACATATCTTGATTTGGTAAAGCAATAAGCATGAATTGATGACGGGGCCAAATATGCAAATAGTTTGGTTCCATAGCAAACTAAGTAAGGAAAATATTCTCTTGATTTAGGTATGATTTCATTTGAATTACTTGTTTGCTCTGTGGGGAAATGCAAAATTCCATGTAATGTGTATCGAAATATTCTTGAGCCACATTAATTGCATCGGTTTTCATCATCGCTGTTCGTACGGCCGAATGGCATCTAATTTAATATTACATTTTCATTCTGGAATAAGCTGTCGCGTATATCTAATACTTACCCATCATAACCAATCACGGCATCGGCACGAAACTCAACTCGATTGCCTGATGCACTATAGGTTAAGACAAGAGACAGCTGAAACATTAAAAAAACTCATGCTGATAACTCTAGACTTACTCGTCAAAACTAGCAATCTTATTGTCCTCGTCCCAGCCAACAAATTTATGTTGAAAATGAATATTAATATTTGGTCGGCGACTAGCTTCTGCAAATACAGTAGAAGAATTGAATCAAAATTAGTATACAATGTGGCTAACTTACCAGTCAATAATAATTCATTTAGAACACGTCGATCAATTGACAAGATTTCCTAATTAATAGTATACATGAAGTGCTGCATACACAAGTTTAGTTGCTTACATGATCTGGACGTGTCCCGTAAGGGATAGAATGTTTGGTACAATCTAAATCATGTATCATTCGAGCACGCATCGCTATACCATTATTAACGATAGTTGTCTCGCAGTCTACATAGGCAAGAGCATCACGACCTCTTCGCGAAAGTGCCATATTGATGCTGCGACCTTTGACTACCTTTTGGGTTCTAATATCTACACGAAAAGATTTGAATTCGAGGTAAACACACTACAACAACAGCGAACCTGGACGTAGTTCAAAGAGATGAACTTGAATATCATGTTTAGCAAAGAAGCAAGCACAGAGTGCTCCTCCCTAAGACAAACAAGTCTTTCTAAATGAATGCATTAATAGCAGCAACTACTCACCAGTCCACCACCAACTATGGCTACCACTTTCGCCGATTGTAAGTCAGTTTCTTCAGACATATCTACAACGGATAGCATGAATTTGTAACATCAATAATCAAAATTGTTTCATGAAACAACATTTTAAGTAAAATTCACGCTAAATTACAGTTGGTGTTATGTGGTGAAAACCTTAGTTTTCCAACTATAACACTTGTGTTAGATACAATATAAAATCTGATTCCCTTTCACACGTCCTCTTTAAAATTTGTTACTAATGAAAATTTATTACAAAAATCATGATCTTGATCTAATCGATAGTATATAAACCTCAACTAACGTCATGGAACTTGTAGTATAGTTGCACTAATCAGATTTATTACTTCAGCGCAGTCTATAATAATTATAAAGAGCACTTTCAAGGTAGTACGCATGGCGTTGAGGCTAAGATAGTAGATTAATCATAGCAAATTGTGTCTCAGCTATCGACTGTATTTGATTCGTGATGCATATTATTTAGCTAAACAAAGGATTCATGGTCTCAATGATACAGTGACATGATCACTAGAAGAATATTCAGAAAAATGATGTGCTTTCAAAAGGTTTCCAGTTTTCATAGTATTTAAATAAATGCCTTAAAAAAAATTTCACCGTTTACTTTACGATACCTTGAAAAGTTAAGATCAGATTTGCACTTTAGAAATCATCACAATATCATTTTTTGTTTTAGTATATGCTATTGTTAAGCCTTTTCATATTACACACTGTATTGACATCGAACGATTGTGGAAAAAAGCTCAGCTTACACTATTGACAGTAGCAAAATCAAATCAGGTGTTTTGTTTTATTACGATATTCTCAGGCTCGTGCTCTCTATCAGTGTAGTAAGGGCCTACAGAGGAAAAAATTCAAAATACCGAAGAAATAAAAGCTTTAATCAAACTAATATGCCAATGCAAACTGAGAAAAAACACTATCTTTGCGTTTTAGCATGAAGTTCTTTTATTTGCAGAGCATTTTTGGTTCTTATCGCCCCTATTTAAAATATTCATTATATGGGTGTGTTTCGACGCGGCGTTGCTTCTCAGACAAAATTTGAGCTATATTGAAAACGACTTATATCAATATGCAAAATTTCACCTTAAAATTTACTTAAAATTAATGTAGTTTCTATGACACGAAAGATTAGGGGATGACATTCATAGTAAGCGAGAACGAGAGCTATACAAGCAGCATACCCTGCTGTGAAGGTGTAATTAATAGATGATTAATAGATGTTAGAAGGAGTTATACATGTTTCATATGATATAATTATTCTTTCTTGTTATCTTTCGATATTTTAAAATTTTCATTCAGAAAAAACAAAATGATATATTTCGTTCGGGAATCGAGCCCAAGATACAACATCTGGTTAACCGGGTCAGTGCTCTTATTATTGAGCTACCGAAACACGATTAAGCATACCATTTTTGTTTCTCTGAATGAAAAATTCAAGGCATCGAAAGATAAAAAGGAAGAATAATTATATCATATGAAACATGACGGTGTAATATAAGAATAAGTTTTATAATGGTTTTATTATCAATTAATACAATTGTATAATATATATGATAATAAATCAGTAATAATAATAATAATAATAATAATAATAATAATAATAGTAATAATAATAATAATAATAATAATAATAATAATAATAGTAATAATAATAATAATAATAATAATAATAATAATAATAATAATAATAATAGTAATAATAATAATAATAATAATAATAGTAATAATAATAATAATAGTAGTAGTAGTAGTAGTAGTAGTAGTAGAAAAAATATGAGGATGCTGCATATCAAGATAGAAAAAGTAGAGCAGATTGTGCAAAAACACAACGTGGCAACGCAAATCAATCATGCGAATCGATTATATCCGACAAATGATGTAACAGATAAAACAATATTAAAAAACATAAACATATTTATAAATAGTTTAGCGTCCCTTAACGACATCTACTTAAGCTAACATCGTCTTGGAATCAATCTTTTTTCTCTTTCTTCATTTGTAAGTATAGTCATATAGTTGTTAAAGTGTTGAGTGTTCCAATGCAATCAGCGACTTATGACTGAGCTGGATTCCTAGTAGGGACGCAAGGATGACGGTGTATCACTGGTTCACCGTCCATCGGTAACCGATCCACCGGTAACCGGCTCTTAACAGTAACCGATCGTGCTAAACTAGTTCTGATTGGAAGTAGCTGCTAATTGTAACAATTAGTTTTGGTCTCCCATGGTGACACCAATACTTTAGTTACCACAAATGTAATTATTCAAAGTCAAAATTTTAAGTTGAGGAGATGTTAATGGCGCTGGCCATTTCCCTTTTTTTAGATATCTTCTTAAGAATTGCTGATAGTAGAGCTGATATATAGGAGATTTACCGGCATTGAGTACTCATTTACAGATGTTATATGCGTATATATGCACTCATAGTTGACCTACTACGTACCATAAGTGGACTTGCACTTTTATGCTACGGATGATCGTGTTGCACAACCATTCTGAATTTCAATGTCGATAAAGAATTTAAGTTGTTTCAAAACCATTAAAGGTTAATACTATACAAGATTATCAGTACTCTGATTGTCTTATTCTATGTTTTAGTTTTCATACGACTCCAAATAAGTCAGAATATATCCCAGGTCGAAAAATCTGACATAAGATCTTATGAAGCACATACAAGATCTTGGAATACGGACGAAATCTTACAAGAATCTGACAAAAGATCGTAGTTCCTGAGATCTGAGATCAATTCGCAAAATCAGATTCTTGAAAGATCGTATTAATGTGTAAGATCTTTCAAGAATTTGATTGTGCGAATTGATATTAGATCTCAGAAACTAAGATTTTTTTGTATGATTTTCGTATGATCGTGCAAGATCATAAAAGATCACATGCAAGATCTTATCGGATCTTACAATATGATTGCTCGACCTGGGTATATCTAAAAGATCGCTAGTTTTTAGTTTTAAAGTTTTTAGTTTAATATTGTCTAGATAATTTATACATGGGAATCGAAGTTTAATGTTGCTGGAAAATGTATATAATTTAAGTGTCCAAACTGGAGACGGTACTGTATATGTTTATCGAAATGAAAAAATATCTTGCAACGCGTACGCATATCCATGTGGTAGCAGTGTTTGTGTTATTATTAAACTTAAACAATTTTCAAACACATACTACATGAAAAATACCCTTTTCTAAGAGTCAGAGTAAAATTGAATTAGAAACAGAGTAATAGATCAAGCAAAGAATTAAAACTAGCATCAGGAAGAGTGATAGTCATCGATGAATTTAAACTGAAAATTTCAGTTATATTGTATTACATAACTATAAGAACTAATTTTCATTTACAATAATGTCATTTACATCTGTGCTTTGTGTCAAAAACGCAATCCGTCACACATTCAGATGCACCGGTTACCGTCACCGTTGCATCACTAATTCCTACTGTAACAGAATCAGTGAGATTCAATCAAATGGTGTGACTCGACTCATTTTGGGGTATAACAGTTCACCAATTTAAGTTGAGATCAAATGAGCGAAAGAACTCTTAGGACAGATCAGATTAGATCTAAGAACTGGTAGGATCTACACTGGAATAATGCCTATATCGATATAGACGTCTTTTATGAGATCTGATCTGCTTGAACGGTTCTTTTGATAGGAATTAAAGCTGAAATGTGATACCCCTAGTCTCATTGTAATAATAGTAACTCTGATAAAACGAAGATCTCCTGATTTCTCAATGCTCATCGAAACGTTTTCAGAAACTTGATTGATGCTATCATAAACAACTTTAATATGGTGTCAGAAAGCTCCGATTATCACTTAGCATGCTACTTATATATTTATGAAATTCTAAATGAATTTTTGGAGTAGGTCTCGTCTGATGGTAACTGAACTGAAACATCTAGTGCTGTAGTCTAAATATTTTGCTACATTGGAGCTAATATCAAAACAAGACCTTCTCTTGTGACATCATAGTAGCAGAGTATTCAAATCGTGATGATTTTGAATGTAAAACATAATGCAAGATGTATGGATATGTTTAAAAAGCGTAAGAGCATAAATTATTTTATGATTGAACGTTACTGTGGAATACTGTGTATTCTGTAATATATTATGTTAAACGAGACGTATTAATAAGAGGAGTAGCTTACGCGTTATAGTCTTTCGAAAAGAGTTTGGCTTTATCATTTTAGAGCCGATAAAATTAGAGCATTGAAAAGCGTAAGAGCGATTTTACTACTGTGAACGCGAACATAAGTGGCATTGACTCAAAAACTGATGATTACTGGTCAACGTGTGTTTCGAATCAGGTAGTATAGCTTTTAAGACAAGAGAAGCGCTATATTCTTATTCAGAGCTCCCTAATAGAATATTATGTGAAATTTTGAAAATGAAAGATACAAACATACGGATTATGTTCTATTTCATCGAACATGTTGAAATCCCATTTCAGCAAACGTTGCGCGCTCATGATTTCAAAGTTTGTTTCTAGCATAATCTAATAATTTGATCCTTCTCCGCAGTAAAAAATATTTCGAAAAAACGGAATAGAATGGTTTCATGCGGATATGGAAACCTATCTCCTACGTAGAGAATGCGTTCCTTGTTTGAGCGAATGCGTTCAGAGTCAGAAAGAAATATTCTCGATCTGAAGGAACTCGTTCTTTACCGTTCCACACTAGTATGGAATACTTTCTTCTATACTGAAAAATCGTTCCCTATTTGAAGAGAAAGCATTCTGAATCATTCTTAAACCAGTAGAATTCATTCTAGTTCATTTTCTTTCGGAACGGTTAACATAGCATTTCATCGAAATAAAATAGCTTCCTTTTACGTTCTCTCACGAGCCTTTAAGACAATGGATTCTCTGAAGAGATGAATGTTTTCTTTTCGAAGCAAACCACATTTTCATTCTAAAATAAAAGGTCTGAAGCAAGGCAGGTTGAAATTGATTTGAGAAATGATGGAATCTTCATTCGATTTTACTTTAGGGATATTTGGTCTGATTTAGAAAAATGATTATTTTAATAACGGTTTCAGTTACAACGAATTGGAGTACGCCATTCGATAGAGCTCGTCAAGTTGCATCAGGAACAGTCTTTTGACTAATTGTAGATTCATCTATTAATGATCACCCAGGTGATCAGAAAGGTTAACCGTTTTAAAGAAGAGAAAGCGTTCCACAAGTGGCAGAATGCGTTCTTCACTGTTCCATTTCGAAACGACCAAGAACACCTTCTTAGAATGATAGAATGCGTTCTAGTGCGTTCCATTTGAGAACGGTTTCCATTTGTTGTGGAACGTTTTCTTTTCTTAAAAAAAGAGCTTCAGTTCTTTTGGAACGCATTCTTTACCGTTCTTTTTTAGTAATATTTTTCACTGGGTCGTCCAACAGCAACAATAACGAGTAGCAATATTAAATATACGTATATATATATAAGAAAAAGAGATATTTCTGAAGATATTTTCTAACATTTACTCTTATCGAATGTGAATCGATGATCAAGGTACTCATTCCGTTATATTGTGCAATACAATCAATCTCACCTCAATTATAAGCAAATAAATCGAAAATGTGTGCTCTAACAAATAAAGCTACACTATTAGAAAATTGTCAAATTTTAATTATAACGATTTACAACCATAGCAGAATGCTGCTCATGAATTTCGCAGTTAATGTACTATGACACTGTTTTGTCAAATTTCTAGTTCTGTTTCATAAGCAAACACATATATAATAAAAATCTCAAGGTTATGCGTTAGCTGAGACGTCGCTTTCAACAAATGCCCACTAGAAAATAATTGAACTATAGTCATATTTGCAACTCAATTCAGCCGTCATGTGATTGACAGCACACTGTCTTACTATTCGTGGCAAAATCGTTGATCTTTCAAACGAATTTGAAATGGAGTGAGCAAAAACTTACCGTGGTCTCATAGTGATCGATTAACGTCACGCAATAACGAAGCAGCGTCTTCTGTTATTTCACTGACTCACACATTCATTATTTTGCTACATCATTACCATCGAAGAGAATAGATTTGCATGAAAGCTAGATGCATATATGGAAATACAATTAGATGTGTGTATTGTTGTACATGAATTAAAACATTTATTCTTTTCTTTTTCATATATTTGAACGTGCTGAAAACGACATCCTCGTTAAAATCATATATTTTAATTTCCACAAACAACATAAAAATTGCTCACATTTGTTCGAGACTATGAACTCCTCTGGAAAACATTTCGACATCCATGACAAACCCTTGATAAAGAGCACAATTATACTCGATACATTGTTGAGCAAACGACGGACTACTTGTGCCACATGCATCACGCAATAGAACGCAATCAAAATTCTTACTCAGAGCATCTTGCAATGTGCTAGATACACATTGATCAGTATTGACGCCAGCGAAGAAAAGTGTGACGATGTTATTGCTCTGCAAATAACTAAGTATAGGACTCTCATGAGACCATAAACCCGACACACGAGCCTAAATAAGATTGAAACAGCAGTTCTCACAAGAAAAATTTTCTTCAACAATATAATCATACTTTATGAAACAATTGGTCAGGTTTTGAACTCGATTGACTATTGTTGTAGCTCTCCAGAAGTGGATCGTAGAGGCTAGCATTCCACGTATCACGCATCAATAAACGTCCTCCTTCCACATGTTTTCCATCAGGAAGTTTGATCTCGCCTATGGATGTACCAAAACCTTTGTAGATTTTTTTTCTTGGCGCAGCACTCGGTAGACAAGTGAGTGTGTCAGATTGAAACGCTGCTTTTACAGAGGGTGGTGCCTGATCGATGTCTTCTTGTGTGAGGCCCCAATTGAGCCATATAACTTGCATGGCAATTTTACGTGTAGTAGGAAGCACAGAGTCCAATAGTTGTTGGGATGCAGCTAGACCCGCTGGATGCGAATTTATTGCTGGATTTAAAAAGAAATTCTGCATATCAATGATTACCAGAGCTGAACGAGCTGGATCAATCGTAATAGGCATTTTAGTTGTCTCAAAACGAATAAAATTTCCTTCATAGCCTCCTCGAGTCAAATCAAACCCATTCTTAGACGAAAATCGCCAGAAATTCGATGGACTACCAATGACAACAGTTTCATTATCAGATTCCTCTGTATTTGTATTTATCGGTTGTTCCATTGAAGATTAATGATACTGTAACGTGAAAATACGAAGTTCTTAATAAGACAGATCTCTTACTGACAACGTTTCAAACAATTTTACGAAAATACGAATTTGCTGCTGTAATAATGATGTTCCTTATTTAAAGTTGATGATAACATTTACTTTGTTTTTAAAACACACATTCTGCTGATAAATTTTGGTGGTCGCTGTTCTGTTGAAATAACACTTCACACTATTCAAACATCACAATCTTCTATAGCTAATAGAAATTTCATTGTAGACTTAGTTCGTGTATGATCCTTGAAATTGTTTTCTCCCCAACAGATGTACGCAATCAACAAATGCGTTCTATTCAAAGCATATTAGTCCTTGTTCACAGATTTCATACATTCGAATGAAATGTGCCTTATTTTCAATTTTGTTTTCTGTTGATACGCAATTCAAATAGTGACTATTTATTATGTTTGCACAAAGTCTCTAGACAGCATAGCAAGTAATAGCTACCGTACTACTAACTACTTCTTTTTTTTAACTTTTGTTTTGTTCAATGATCGAAATTTATCGATTCTTCATGATTGTTCAGTAACTTTTCTTGTTAGAGTATTACTGTATCCCTTTCATTCTTACATCTGTCAGCCTGACTGCTACAAAAAGACTTATTTTGTCCGATTTATGATGGTGTTGATGACATGAAAAAGTCAAGTTGAATTGATGATGATTGGGTAGTACATTTCAGATGTTCTATATGATCAATGAATGGAAAAGTAGAGAGAAGTTTTCCGTTGAGTAATACACGTTGAACGTAAATATTTTCAGCTGAATTATTATGCGCAATAATTGTTACTGTGCATTGACCATTATTACGACGAATTGTAATACGATCAAAAGCTGGACTGCCAAGTAGATAAACAGATGAACCAGCAAGAGGATAGAAACCCATACTTGCGAAAATGTACCATGCTGAAAGTGTTCCATAATCATCGTTGCCAGGTAATCCATCAGGATTTATCGTATAAACATGATCAAGTATCCAACGTGAGTGCTTTTGGGTAAGATCAGATCGATTAGCATAATTAAATTGCCAAACAGAAAATAAATCATGTTCATTTCCTGGCCAATAATAAGGATTAGGTAATACTGTTGTTGACCAAAGCCGACTACGCATGAAGAAAGTATCGAGTTCTTGAGCAAATATTTCTTTGCCACCAAACAATTCAACTAGACGTGGTGTATTATGTGGTACGAAAAAGCGATAGTGCCATGCATTACCTTCAACATAACGATTATCCCACGGATTGAGAAATTCAATTTCGTTGGATGGACAAAAGAAAGCGCCCTCACTGGATCGAGCACAGAAAAATTTGGTTTTATTATCAAATACATGTTCAAACCATTGAGATCGATTATAATAATCTTGTGCTTCATCAAAAAGACCTGCAGCATGCATAACATTGCCAATAGCCCAATCATCATACGAGTAGCTAAGTGTAAGTGGTGCCGATCCAGAATCATTATCAAATGGTACATATTGATATTTTATATATGTATCGGGATTAAAACGACTATCATGTGCTTGCTGCTGATTGGCTACTTTTCTTAATGCTTCGATTACTTGTGTCATATTGAGATAACTACTATTCTCATGCTTCATAATTAGGTCACTTATTAAAATATCAGCATGTGAGCCAATCATACAATTTGTATATCCATTGGCGAATGGCCATTTCGGTAAATCACCACCTTGTTCAACAATAAGCATAATCGAACGAATAATATCATTGGCTCGTTGTGAATCATGGAAAACAATGAAGGGTATTTGTGTTCGGTGAACATCCCATATTGATAAATCAGTATAGAAATGTTCCATACTATCAGGCTTAGTATGAATTTGGCCATCGAAACCTAAGTAGACACCGTTCGACTCGTCCCATTGAGTCGGACTCGACAATGAATGAACAATTGCACTATTGAATTTGATGACGGCTTCATGATTCCAATCAGCACTAACCTATTAAGTTTCAAGACTTTTCAACAATATTTGGTTTTTTCTCTTGTAACAAAATCAAACATACTTCGAAACGAGCAATTTCATTGAGCCATTTCTGTTGTACCGTTTCACGAATGGCATCGAACGATTTAAGTTGAGTTTGCATTTGTAAATTTGTACGTGCTTGTTCAATTGAAACAAAACTCATACCGACATAAACTGTGACCTGTTCTTGATCGGCAGGTAAAATTATGTAAGCTCCTGATGAGCACCCATCGGCCGCTGTCTGCTCATGTACTAAACTACCATTTGTCCAAACACCAAAATCTGTCCAATTAGTAAACTTAATAGTAAAATATGTAGACAAACCACCGAAACTTCTGGAAAAATCTCCTTTGAAAAAGACGGAGCCAGTTATTTCATTATTTTTCGGATCAATATTCACATGACTCAGATTGCACACTTTCAACGGGAGTGTATAACTACTATCCACAAGTATGACTCGATGCTTTTTATTGGTATTATTAAATGAATATCGATGAACACCAACGTGTTCAGTTGCAGTTAATTCAACATTGATGTTATGCGTATCGAGATAGACTTGATAAAAACCAGGCTCAGCTCGTTCATGTTCATGTTTAAATTCACTTCGGTAGCCATTTCGACTTGAAATTAAACGTTGCAAATGGTGATCATCATCGATTTGAACTGGAAAAATGCCAACTTCGCCATAATCTTGAAGGCCGGCACCGAATGTATGCGTGTGTGAGAAAACATTGATATGTGTATCAGAATAATGATAACCGGCATAATGTTCGAATTTTATTGGAATATCAAGTGTATCACTTGTATCGGGACTTACACGAAGTGCACCATATGGACTTTGCGCACCAAGGGGTAAGCTTCCTGCACCATATCCAAAACCTCCGGTACCAATGTACAGGTTCAGCGGCGGAAATTCAACAGTAGATGTTCTTACTATCAAGAATAATAGAACATACCATGGTTTGATCATATTAACAGTGCTTTTAGATAAAATACATTTCAATTTAATACGATTGAATAGTGAGAAAAACGGACAGCTGGCATTTTCAAAACAGGTCTTATATTCCCTTTCGTGCAAAAACAGTAGCCAATACGATGCAGCAAGAGGCGGTCTGATTCAATCAGCTGGACTTTAGTAGAATTTAGAATCATATTGAAAAATATGACCTTGGAGATTGTTATCTTTCTTTTTAAATAAATAATTTTTATCTCTACAATTTATCGAAATAGTTCATCGTTCAGAATATTCTACTTGTAATATTTGTCTTCATAGTTCCTATATTTAGCTGTTGGTTCTTTAAAATGGCACTCTCATTCGGTTGACAAAGAAAGCTAAATCAAAACGGCAGGGAAAGCGACGCGTACTAAATACATGTACGATGATTTGTTTCGAAGTTGAAATTTCCCCAGTAATATTTTACTACGGTTATCTCAATTATTAAACCTATAACTTGATATCATATATTTTTATTGTTATACTCGGTTGACTATTTTCAAAATTAAATGTTTTCTCCTTCTTTTCTCTTAATTAAATAGAATAAAAATTGTCCGCTTGCTTTCGCTTCTCATGTTTAAATATCTTTATTTTTCCCGAAAATTTTGACATCATTCATCAGACAGCGAAGTTCAATAGGATTTATTCTTAATATTGATTAATCATGTTGTGAGACTAATCACTTGATAAAAGAATATGTATATTAGCATCTCAAGAAATCATCAATTGTAGTCGTAAAAATTAGTTATCATACACTAATGTATTTTTTGCGAGTGGCAAAAAAATGACGAAGAAAATGAGAAAAAATTTTAACATCACTTTAGTAGATATCTTCTACTTCTACGCGATCTTGAAGAAAAATATAATTAATTTCTAAAGTTTTCGAAAAAATAATTAATTCAGGAAAATTTATGTGAATTCTTTTTGTTTTATTACGAGAAAAATTTCTTAAAACCAACAAACATGAAGTTCCTTCAAACAATGAGATAAAAGAAAAGCAACAAAAAAAAAAGTTTTTCACTCAACAAAGAATAGCCTTGATAATGAAAAGCATGATAACTTATGACAAAGATAGCATTATTTTCATTTCGCGTACAATGACAAAGACATAGAAAAATACAATGATATAACCAGCGTCCTGGAATTGAACAAAATTAAGACGAAATCGGTGTTCTTAGCATCCATGTGTGAATTTTCTATAACTAAATCAGTGAGTTATGTTTAATCATGTTTCCTCGATTATTAATCGATCCCTAATCTATTTGACAGTAGGGACTACTGCTCAAGTCATATAATTTATTAGCTGTTCAGTAGCTTGTTCAGCTGAAATTCTATTGGTTAAATAAACTAGTCATTGAACGTGAGCAATACAATCTTAGCGCTCTCTATCCTATAGGACATTTTCTTAGAAGAAAATAAAGATCGAACCCAATTAAAAATTAATAAATAATATTTTTTTTATAAATTACAACGAAAAGATGATTGTAACAAAGTTAAATCCATTTTTACCTAGCAACCGATCAAAATACAATATCTTGATGTCGGTTGACCTTAATGCCGCCTTTTTTTTCTGAAAGAAAATCGGTGTATTTTTGTCTCAATAGAATAATTTTTTTATTTTAGATGCAAATCAACAGCTTATTCGTGCCAATGTTTGTTGAATTTCATGTTGATCACTAAATACTACGAAGAAAATAAACAACAACGATGGCTCAATAAAAAAAGCAGATTCTACTTGATAAAGCGTTACCAAAAAAGCATATATATATATATATATATATATATATATATATATATAACTAAATACATAATGCTGGTAAAATTATATATTATATCTTAGTATTATTTGAATGAATCTACAGTGCAAAACAACTATACAACATGATGAATAGCAACATCTATTAAATAATTATCCAAATCAATCACCTTTATATTTCTCTATCTACGAATAAAAACTAATAAATCACTGCACGTAAGTACATCATGATCGATAAACAGAGTTTTTTGTTTTTCTGCAAGCGAAGGAGTCTTTTGAAGAAGAAAAAAAAAGAAATATAATGCTTGATAAATGATAGTATATTGTGCGTTGCTATTCATTACATATTCCACTTAGTCGACCAACACTAAAGAATATTTTAAGAGCCACTCGTCATGTAATATTATATTCTAAGAGCCTCAAAAGTAAGCAAAAACACATAAGTATGTCCGTATGAATGTTACCTGTGTTTTGATTTCGTCTATATTCTTTTTTTTTTAAATAGAAGCCGATAATGCTAATGTGTTTAGCAAGAAATCATCAAGTGAGAAACTAATTTATTAAAATGAAGTTGATAGTAAGTGTGTGTTTAGTTTATTATAATAATTATCAATTATTCGAGAACCAATTTCATGAAATTTCTTAATATATGTCAATAGATTTTTTTGCAGTTTTATATTTCACTAATAAATATACAATCTGGTTTATATGTTAATAAATTATGCAGTTATTCGAATTTTCTTTCTATAATCAAATTCAATTTATTCACAAAAATGACACATTCTTCGTTTTAACTCAAAATAGCCAATCATACTATGAAGATTCATATTTGTCTTTTGCCGGACAAAGACTTACATCACTACAAAAAATAAAAAGAATTACGCTTTTAGACTATCGAGGTCAATAGCAATACAGAGGAAAAGAATTGAAATCGACTACACATATATATATATATATACAATTGAAGTTGACTATATTTTTTTCTCTCTCTGTTCGACGAAACGCCAGATCACACTTCTAACATAGCTACTATATATTTATATATTATTCTCTTGTAGATGACCATATTGGTTCTTTTTTACGATCAATAAGAACTCGAAATAGACATCTTGATAAATATTGTAGAATAAAAACTAAAAGCAAAATAATGGATTCAGGAAAAGATGAATTTAACATTCCAAATGTTATTATTGATCCGCGAACACGTGCTCAATATTCCAAAGGGAAGTTTCTTGGCAAAGTTAGTTGATTCATTTTAATTTTTGACATTTTCTAATTTTTGCTTTGATATCATTAAGGGTGGTTTTGCTCGGTGCTATGAACTCATCGATGTTACTACTGGCCAAACGTTTGCCGGAAAAGTTGTACCTAAATCAATGCTAATAAAACCTCATCAAAAAGAAAAAGTATTCAAAAAAATTTTGACCGCGATTAAAATCGACTCAATTTTTTTAATTTCAATTAGATGCAACAAGAAGTGACAATTCATCAATCACTTAATCATAAGCATATTGTTCAATTTTTCTCATACTTTGAAGACGAAAATAATGTTTATATTATCCTTGAACTTTGTCGGCGACGAGTAAATGATCTGTTTTTCGGTTTTTAATCGTAAACACTGTGTTTTTTTTCTTAGTCATTAATGGAATTACATCGACGACGCAAAACAGTGACAGAGCCGGAAACACGTTATTTTGTTAAACAGATTGTTGAAGCTTGTATTTATCTGCACGATAAACGTATTATACATCGTGATCTTAAATTGGGAAATCTCTTTCTTAATGATCAAATGGAAATAAAAATCGGTGATTTTGGTTTAGCAACACGAATCGAGAATGAAACTGATCGAAAACGGTAAAATTTCACGTAGAGATTTGTCCCTGTTGTGAACTTCAGCAAAATGTTTCGAAAAAGAATCCCCGGGAGAGAAATAAAATATCGATTCTCGCTGTGCCAGGTCAAATTGTATTTGCTTAGAATGCTTTTAAATTGCATAGGCTGTCTCATGATCAACATTTATTCTTTTGCATTATCAAAACGTAAAGGTCAACACATTATTTCAACTTCGATTAAAAGAAATACGAAATAGATGAGTCTCATTTGAGTAGAACGAATCATTGTTTTCTTCGAGAGAAAAAGTCTTTTTTTCATTGAATAAATGAATTAATCATTTCTCAAATATGTAGATAAAATGATTAATTAATAGTTGTAATTCAATCCGTAATGTCGAAACTCATAGATTATTATTTCATTTATCTAATAAAAAAAATTTTAATTCAAAATCGAACTTTATATTTAATCATTTATTTTGATTTAGAACACTATGCGGTACTCCAAACTACAGTAAGTGCTGTTTATTTACTTTTCTTGTCTTCATTTATTAAATTTTCTTATATTTTTTCTTTTTCAATCATAGTTGCACCTGAAGTGATCAACAAGAAAGGTTAAATCTCAATTTAGAATTTGTCTTTTCTAACTTTATTTCTCTCGTATCTAGGTCATAGTTATGAAGTTGATGTATGGAGTTTAGGCTGTATTCTTTATACACTGCTACTTGGCAAGCCACCATTTGAAACATCATCGTTAAAAGATACATATTCAAAAATTCGTAAAAACGATTATTTAATACCGGAGAATCGTATAAGCCGAGAAAGTGTCCTACTTATTCAACGCTGTTTAAGACATGAACCATATGATCGTCCAACGATGTCTCAAATCTATTTGGATCCATTTTTTTCTGGTTTTACGCCAGCAACATTACCAACGTCCGTTTGTACAGTTGCGCCACGCTATTCAGTTATGCCACCGATGCATCCTCCACAACAACCGATACTGATCAATCCTAGTAAAACAATCGCATCAAATATGCAACAACTACAACAGCGCCGTCCATTTACAGAACAACAACAAAATGAACAAGCATTAATTGCATCACGCCATCAACAAGTAGTTACATTACCAGCACCCATTTTGATGAATGAACGTGCAACTGATATTCATGGTCTTGGAGGACGTGTAGCATCAGCAGTACCGAGTCAAACTGATATTGTGTTACCATCGCATATGAGTAGACAATTAACGGGTCTCGATGGTCAAGCATTTGTACCGACAAGTGGAACGAACGAAGAAGTCAATGATGATTTGCATTTAGGTATTGATCTTCAAAGACAATTAGAACATTTAATACAAATGAAACCGAATGAAAAACTTGATAAACGAGAAGATGAAGCTGAAGATCCAGCATCGGCGCCGATGCTGTGGATATCTAAATGGGTGGATTATTCAGATAAATATGGTTTAGGCTATCAATTATGCGATGATTCTGTTGGTGTTTTGTTTAATGATTCAACGCGTTTAATTATGACTGCTGGTGGAGCAGAAAATCTACAGTATATCGACAGAGACGGCTATGAACATTTATGTACTATGAAAGATTATTCCGATCAATTGAAAAAGAAAGTTACTTTGCTAAAAGTAAGATTTCTTGTTCGATTTATTCTACGGTTGTCGACTTTTCTTTTGTAGTATTTCACTTCTTACATGGACGAACATTTGCTAAAGGTAAATTTAACTCAGGAGCTATACAATCTTTACTTCCGAGGGCGTATTTTTTTGTTGATAACCTGAGTGCAACATCCTAAAAGTGATAAAACAATTGAGAAGTATCGCGATAGGAGTGTTCGAAGTAAATTTCAACGAGTTAAATAAAAATTTTAGATATTTCAATCTGAAGTCTTAAAATTAACTTTTCCTTATCGCTCACCTAATCGTTGTAAACCACAACATGCCTACTAGAGATACACATATCTTACGAGACACTTGAGATCGTTGCGAGTACCGTACTCATTTTTATCCTTTCCTGTTTGTTAACACTTTCGGTTCGAAGAAAAACCTTGTAAAATTTTGTTGCGAAAAACAAAAGAAAGAATTGTTCTTAAAGAGAAAATAATTGCGATTCTTTCATTTTAGGCTGGTGCTGCACATGCTCCACGACCTGGTGATGAACTTTCTCGACTCCCATTTGTTAAGTCATGGTTTCGCACACGTAATGCTATCGTTTTCTATCTATCCAATGGCACATTACAGGTTTGATAAAAAATTAATTTGTAAAAATAAAAAATTAAATCTCATTACTTTTTATTTAGATTAACTTTTTTCACGATCATACCAAAGTTATTTTATGTCCTCTAATGAGTGCTGTTACTTATATAAATGAACATCGTGAAATTCGTACATATCGTCTAGCGGCATTAGAACAATGTGGTTGTTCAAAACAATTGTTTACACGTATTAAATATGCAAAAAGTATGATCGATCGAATATTGGCAGCAAAAAGTAATCAAAATCGACTTCATTAATTATTCTCATGTACGTTCTTGTTTCATTCTCAAGTTGTGCAATTTTCTCTTTTTTCATTTTTCATTTTTTTCTTTCTCTTTGGCTTGTACTTATGCGGTTTGTATTTTTTTTTATCTTTAATTCAATTCAATTCGAGTGACTATGTTCGTCTCTTGAGCTCATTTTTCCTTTCACTCACACACGCACACACACATGCTATTTCTCGATTTGTTATTATTATTATTATTATTACTAGTACTGTGTGTAAGATAAACCAAATGAACGATAATTTGCATTGGCAAAAGCAACGACAGTTAGTTAAAAAAACAAAACCTGTTCTTTGTAATTGTTCGGCATTTTTTTTTCATGTTCTTCTATGATACTAATTTCTTTTTCTTTATTTTCCTCTGCATTTACTATTAGTAGACAGAGAGAAATTTTAAATAAATAAAAATTAGTAAAACAAAATAACACCACCGATGATGGACGAAGGCCATTTTAGAATAACATTGAGTCATATCAGTGTTTGATTAATAATGCATCGAAACTTTAAAAAGTAACCTTGACATTAGATAGTACTCAAAAATTTTGTTTATTCAAATTAAACTTGAAAATCCATAGAAGGGCAATATTTATTTTCTTGTTGTCATGAAGATAAAGGTGTGGGTTCGATGTGTACAATTGTGAAATTATTGTCCGATCCATCCATTACTAATCTTTACTTCTAACTCGTTTGGTTCTTCTATCGAGTGGATTTCTAGATCATTTCACTGCTGATTTAATCTTTCATCTTATGTAAATCCTATTTTTTGACTGATTTATTCAAGGTAACTCTTCCGATTAAATATATATTGAATCATCAAACGTGCTTTATGCACTAGAGCCCAATAGCCCTCGCGGCGGCGACATATTATAATACCGAATTTGTATATTATTGTAATTTGGAACAGTATAAATTAATCTCGCTTTAATTATTTTCCAATCGAATTTTGATACACGTCAGTTATTTTGCAAAAATCTAATGGATGAACTTTAAACGAGCACCAAAATCTAAGATATTTATTTCTGAAGTCTTATCAAAATATTATTGATAATAATGTTGCAAACTTGATACAGCTTGTTTTTTTAATCTCATATTTGTAACATGAAGAATTCCTTCACGAATGTGGAAACGTAGCTCACTTTCGAATTAAAAGTACAATGCATTTGTGATATTTCTTAGCTCCAAGACGAATTTAATTTCCGAATGGATCGGACATCCGTTTCATAAGTTCTTTAATTTTTCAATCAGCAATAAGAAACATACAAGTTTATACCGTTGGAAACTCTTGAATGAATTAAAGAAAAATATTTTTCTAGGCTGATTTGAGAAGCTTCATCAGATTTTTATGAGTGTTTTTGTTGAAGATTGAATTGTCGACTACTTCAGCTATTCCGTTTTTGCAGTATTTGAAGAAACTCAGGACAACCGATTTAATAGTAAATCTACTTTTATTTTTCATAAGACGATGAAATTTGGTTGCACAAAAACAAAACTACGATAGATTCTCGCTTAGATAATATCAATAAAAATTGCTAATTGAAAATGACATTTCTTTCAAAGAAATGAAAGCCTTCAAAAATTCTTCATGTTAAAGTAATTGTCGACTCCTTTTTGAAATATACGCACACGTCACAAAAGCAAGAGAGGAGTAAACCTACTACGCACTCCAAAATAACATTACGTAGAAAGTAAATCAACATCATTATCAAACATTGCGCGTAACTATTCTATGTTCTGAAAACCACGCAGCGTAACTAAGCTAATATTCAAGAGTTTTAAATTTTAATACTATTGACTTATAGGACAACATGATCTGTCTTCAGTCATAGAGAGAAAATAAAGAATTAGAAGGTAACTGTAATTCACAGTTAAATGTCGTCGTCGTCGTCGTGACTGGTTATGGACAATTGTGTCAGGGACACAAACAAATATAATACAATATGATGAAGGTCATTGACATGTCAAAAGGGATCAAAGAAAAACGTAGGTTGTCATATGCTATACATGAAAACAATTGACACCATCTGTGGATCAAATTCGTGTCACATATTTGTCAAAAGAAAAGAAATTTTTAGACCTTGATTTTCTACATTAAAACCTATTTGCACAAGTAATCGTTATTCACACATTCTCGTTTATGGTATAATTAGTCAGATGAATAATAACAAAAAAAGGTAGCAATTATCACTATATGAACTCTTACTAAAAAAAATATCGAAAGAAAAATTATCATAATTAATATTCGTAGAAGAACTAGAAATCGATAATAATGTTTGCGATATAACATCTACTGTGATTCTATTGAAGTATTCTACGACGTGATAACTATCAAATGTCATAACTCGTGTGATTATGGTTTTAATTTCCGTACCGTTTCCATTGGATTGTTCTTGGCATAGAAATTTGTATAATGAAGTTAGAAAAAAAACGCTATTCATGCTTTTTATTTTGCGTATTCCACAACGAAATGCTTGTATTTATTTTTCTACATAGAAACAAATCAACCGAACAAACAAGAGCGAAAACGTAAAGCAAAATACTCGATTTAATGTTCTTGCTTAACATCTATCGTGAAAAGGAAAATTCTATTTCCGAGAACTACTAACGTAAAAAAAAAACACAAAAACAACAAAGCCTATTTATATCACAATGAGTTTGAACAGCATGTATTTTTTCAATGATATCACTACTGTTTATCTAACGGATTTTCATCCGTATTTGCCCATGTTAAACGATCTTCATAAAAACGAATCACATATTGAGGGCTTTTTACATTAGCTAAAAGTTAGAAAAGAAATCTATATCGATTTCATAATATTTTTAAATTCTCACCAATTCTAGCAGGAACTAATTCGGGTTTTTCGGTTGCTTGCCATTTAATTCTAAACGAAAAACATAAAATATCTCTATGAAGATATACAAAAACAAGAAAGAAATTCTAGTTGAATCTTACAGAAACATTAATTCCCCATAGACATCTGTTGCACCAAGAATTTTTTCAATTTCAAGTCCTCTATCATAACCATAGGATTCTGTTTGTTTTGTTTTTTTCGATGATTCTGTTATTGATTCTTGTTGATCAAAACTATTTCGAATTGATCGTTTATTTGACTCTTTGATAGTTGTTACTTCAGCTGGTTCAGAAGCTTTTTTGGCTCGTTTATGATATTCAGCAATTAATTCTGGACAATCGAGATTCATTTCAGGTTCCTGAAAAAAATCCAAAAGTCAAAATAAATATAGTAAAACAAAAATAGTATCAATTTTATTTTACCCAAGTATTTTCAGTATCACCAAAACCTTTCCATTTTAAAAAATAATAAACTTCTCCATTCACAACTTTTCTATCGAGAATTTTTTCAACGATAAATTCAGCTTCATCAAGATCTTCATCATCAGAATTTCCATGATGTTTTCCCATTTCTAAAATCAAATATCTAGAATAAAGAAAAATATGAAACGGTTGTGTTCACTGTTGCGTGTGAGATATTACGCTTCACACTGATTTTAAAATGTTTTGTTTTATTTGATTTCACATTTCTTTAGATTTTCATTGACCGTTTATATATGTTAGAAAATAGGTTTTATTCGTTAATATTAATAATTTTTTTTATTGAAATAAATTACGAAATAAAAATGATTATTTCTTATTATTGAAGGTATATATTTAAACGCGATGGTAGTGCTTGATGCCGATTGGCTAGTCAATTTTCTATAGTAGATAACAGCGGTTCTTTGTTCAATCTGAGCAGATTATTCACTTCTTATGGAATTACGTAAAGAATATTTCTATTTGATCAACATTCTTTTCTAGAATATATCTGCTCATGTCTAGGGCAGCGAATGTACAAGGCTGTATATAGAAATACTCTCATTTTCCTGAATTTCATTCAAGTGTTATTGATTGATGGATTTTTTTGTATAGCAGATGGGATTTTTAATATCAAATAGTGAAGCAGTTTCGATGAGGGAAAATAATAAAGGTTGTGCATTTTTCAGATAACTAATGGAAGAAGAAGAATTCGAAGAGAATCCTGGAAATAACGATGATTTTACTGAAGATGTTGTTGCATCAACTGGTCTTGGTCTTTCATTTGAAAAACGTCTTGAACGCTTAAGTCAATCAGATCGTATTGATCAATTGTATGGTTGTTTACGGTATTCCGCATTTGAAGAACGTATCGGTTGGCTTTATAATTTACAGCCATGTGAATTATTTGATGAAGATCGTCGACGATTTGTATCAGCACTTGATCTGTATTTTATTGGTGAAATAGGCGATCGATTTAAAATATCCCTCGTCTATCCACCGTATTTTTATGTCGGAGCAAAACTGGGACGTGAAAATGATGTCTATGCTTATTTATCAAAACGATATCATAATCGATGTTTATCATGTGATCTGCTGGCAAAAGAAGATTTAGGTATGAACATAGATTTGCTTTTCCTTAAAATTAATAATAGATTTTCGTAATGAGGAATGATTTGCGCTCACCCTCTTGGGGAAAACTTATTTTGTTTTATTCAGATCTTCCAAATCATCTTGCTGGTATTCAACGTACATTTATTCGTCTCCGCTTTCATGATATTGATGATTTGATGAAAGCTCGTAAAGAGTTACAACCCATTGTTAAGCGTAATACTGAACGCGAAAAAGAACAAGAATCTCGTCCTGAATTAGCTGTATTGAAACGAGCTGCATCTTCAAATTCGCGAGGTAGCGATCTTGTCGTTGATGGTCTTTCAAATGCAAACATTGCCGAAAAACAAATTGACGGTATCATTGAACTGCGTGAGTTCGATGTACCCTATCATATTCGAGTTTGTATTGATTTAAAAATAAATGTTGGTCTTTGGTTCGTATTGTTTTCTCTTCAATATGGAAAAACACGAAATCAATTTTATTTAGGTATGGTATTCGTGGTCAATCAAGTAGTGGACCACAGAATCAACTTGTATTGAAACCAGAACTAATCGAACAACCCGAACCGATTATTTTTGCATTTGATATTGAATGTACTAAGATGCCATTGAAATTTCCTACTGCTGTATCCGATCAGGTAAACACGATAGTTTCCTTGCTGAGATAAATTCTTCTACGATATCTCTGTTCTTTCTCCGCAGATTATGATGATATCATACATGGTCGATACGCAAGGTTATTTAATAATAAATCGCGAAATTATTTCACAAGATATTGACGATTTTGAGTATACGCCAAAAAAAGAATATCCAGGTCAATTTCATGTTTTCAATGAAACGAACGAACTTGAATTACTCAAACGTTTCTTTAATCATATTGTCGATGTTAAACCTCATATATTAGTAACATATAACGGTGATTCATTTGATATGCCATTCGTTGAACAACGTGCACAATTCTATGGTTTGAATATGTTTAATGAAATCGGTTTTCGAAAAGATTCTCAAGATTGTTATTTATGTCGTCCTTGCATTCACATGGATTGTATTAAATGGGTCAAACGTGATAGTTATCTACCTGTTGGAAGTCATGGTCTTAAAGCTGTAACAAAAGCTAAACTGCGTTATAATCCAATTGAAATCGACCCTGAAGATATGTGTCGGTTAGCTGTCGAACAACCGCAAACACTCTCAAATTATTCGGTATCAGATGCAGTTGCAACGTATTATCTGTATATGAAATATGTTCATACATTTATTTTTGCACTCGGAACGATTATTCCAATGAGACCCGATGAAGTACTTAGAAAAGGTGAATTAAAAAATATACATATATATATATATATTAATTTTTACTTGGGAAAGAAATATTTCGATAGCGAAAAATAGTGACGAATTCATTGTTTACAATGTTTTATCGAATAGTTTACAAAAAAATGTTGATATTTCCCATCGTGGGAATCTGCCTAGAGGACGCTTGGTTTTGAATAATATCAATGTAGCTTAATGAATTTTAGGGTCGGGAACACTATGTGAAACACTATTAATGGTACAAGCATATATTGCGAATGTTATTTATCCGAATAAACACGAAGACGAACAGTATAAATATACCAACGATGGTCATTTACTTACTACTGAAACTTATGTTGGCGCAAGTGTTGAAGCGCTTGAATCGGGCGTTTTTCGTAGTGATATACCATGTCGATTTAAAATTGTTCCGTACGTATTAATTTACCTCCTGTTTATTTTCTAAGTTGAATACAAATATCGATTTTTAGTGAAACAATTCAATTCTTAATTGATAATATTGATCGAATACTTCATCAATCGATTGAAGTCGAAGAAAAATTATCAATTGATTTAGTAGAAAATCTAGCTGAAATCAAAGAAGATATTATTCAACGATTACAGCATCTAAAGAATGTTCCTAATCGCCTCGAAAATCCAAATATATATCATTTAGATGTCGGTGCTATGTATCCAAATATTATTTTAACAAATCGTTTACAACCATCAGCCATTGTCAATTCAACAATATGTGCTCAATGCGATTTAAATCGCCCGAATGCACGTTGTCAACGTAAAATGGATTGGATATGGCGTGGCACTTATGTTCCTGCTACCCGTAACGAATTACAACGAATTCAACTGCAACTCGAAAATGAACGATTTTCATTCAATGGACAATTGATTGAAAAAAAATCATTTGCAGATTCTTCGAAAAAAGGAATAAATGCAGGTAGAAAAAATATATTTGACCTGTCATACTGTCTTGCGGACAGTTTTCATCGCCATCAGATGTTGAGTGAGAGAATTAGATTCTCCACTCAAGGGGGAAAGGAGGATTTGAGATTTTTAGGATTTTGAAAATCCCGAAATCCACACCGTGAATGATGCAATTTCCATCTGAACTTTTTCTCATATGTAGTTCTCAGGATCCTTAGAATATTGTAATAATTTTGTCAGCGCAAACGGATGTTTCCTTCTCAAGATAATGAATGCGCAAGAAACGCTCATTTCACGACACGGTCAGAAAATCCAGTTTTTCTGAAAATTCAATAAATTGCTTTTCAATTTTGGGATTTTTCGGATAAAAAATCCGCCGTTTCCCTCTTGTTCTCCACTACTACATTGAATTTCGAGCCTTCATTCCTTTATAGCAAAAGAAACATTTCAATTATAAGCAATCTCTAGCGCACCTATGCAAAAATCTGTTTCTATAAAAACTGTCTATTTCATCTTTAGCGAACAATAACAGTACATTGTCATTTCATGAATTACCGCAAGAAACACAAACAACTATTGAACGTAAACGTTTAGCTGATTACTGTCGTAAAGCATATAAAAAAGTGAATCATACACGAGAAGAAACTCGCGAGACAACTGTTTGTCAATGTGAAAATTCGTTTTATGTCGATACAGTACGTGCATTTCGTGATCGACGTTATGAATATAAAGGTTTACACAAAAAATGGAAGAAAAATTTGGCCACTGCATCAAAAAAAGAGGATCTTAACGAAGCTCGAAGATGTAACAATTTAATTGTTATTTATGTCAGTTGATTTATTTCCGTTTGTTTTTTATTTGATGATATTTTTCACATTTAGGATTCACTACAACTTGCGCATAAATGCATTCTCAATTCATTTTATGGTTATGTCATGCGACGAGGTTATTTTCCTTTGTATCGAATTACTGAATAAACTTTGATTTATTTAGGTGCTCGATGGCATCGAATGGAAATGGGTGGTATCGTATGTACAACAGGTTCAACGATTATCAAACGTACTCGAGAACTAATTGAACAAATTGGACGACCACTTGAACTCGATACAGTAAGATAGATCATCAGACGCTGAATATATTTCGATTAGCAGTAAGACTTATTTTTATTTAGGATGGTATCTGGTGTGTTCTACCAGCAACCTTTCCTGAAAACTATGAATTAATAACACGCGATCCAGCACGTCCAAAGGTGGTTATATCCTATCCATGCAGTTTATTAAATTTAATCATCAAAGATTATTATACAAATGATCAGTATCATGAATTGGTTGATAAAGAAAAACATCAGTATGAAATTCGTGATGAAAATTCAATCTTTTTCGAAATCGATGGTCCTTATCTAGCAATGATATTACCAGCATCGAAAGAAGAAGGAAAACGCATTAAGAAACGTTATTGTGTATTTAATATGGATGGCTCAATAGCTGAATTAAAAGGTTTCGAAGTAAAACGTAATGGTGAATTGCAATTAATTAAAATTTTTCAAGCAAGCGTTTTCGAAGCATTTCTCAAAGGAACAACACTCGAAGAATGTTACGGTCATGTTGCAACTATTGCTGACTATTGGCTTGATCTGTTGTTTTCGCATGCAAAAGATATAACAGATAAAGAATTGTTCGAATTAATCTCGGAACGACGAACGATGTCAAGAATGTTATCAGAATACGGAGAACAAAAATCAACATCAATTTCGACAGCGAAAAGGTAAATTATTAAGTTCTCGATGGTAGAATTAGTGAATAAACTATAGTTTATATCTTTAGACTTGCTGAATTTCTTGGTGAAGATGTTATCAAAGACAAAGGTCTCTGTTGTCGTTTTGTGATTGCTAATGTTCCACGTGATGCGCCTGTTACTGAACGTGCCATTCCATTGGCTATATTTCAATCTGAACAATCAATTCGTAATCATTATTTACGTAAATGGTTACGTGTTTCAACGGTTGATAATCTGGATATACGTGAAATTCTCGATTGGAATTATTATATCGAACGTTTTAATAGTTGCATTCAAAAAATCATTACGATTCCAGCTGCTCTACAGAACATTCGCAATCCGGTACCACGTGTTCCACATCCCGATTGGTTACATAAACGTTTAGTAGAGAAAAATAGTTTATACAAACAAAAACGCATTACTGATGTATTTAATTCCATTGATAAACAAACTCTTATGGACAACAATGAAGAACGATTAGCAGTAACAAATGATATTGAAGACATAGGTGAGCCAACAAAATCCTCGATAAAATTTGCTAAAAAAATCACAACAAAAACTTTAAAACGAAAACGCGACGAAGCGAACGATAAAACGCTCACACGTCAATGGCGTATCGTTCTTGGTCCTCCGCCACCATTCGGGCAAACAACCGGTCAACATATCAAATGGCTTGCCTATCAAAAACGAAAATGGGAACTACAAAATGAACAACGGCAACAATCTTCTGTAACATCCAACAATCAACAATTATCAACTAAGCACAAGCCTGCAGCCGATGGAAAAATCGATACATATATTCGTCGTGCAGCCGAACATTTGCATACACGTCCATGGCAAATAGTTTCATACGAATTAACCGATCAACCAGGCATATTCAAAGCTTGGTGTTTAGTTGAACATGAAGTAGTACAGATAAAAATCAAAGTTCCAAGAATATTCTATGTTAATTATCGTACATCCATTGAAAATAGCGCCGAAGAACAATTGAAACAAACGCAACGATCGACTGGGTACGAACGTACAATGAGTAATTGTTCAAAACGTGTGAATCGTTTATTGCCACGATGTTCACAGGCTTATCATTTATATGAATATCGTTTGGACGAAAATAATTTTCAAGATTACTATACAGATATCATGACGGACTTGAGTAATCCGAATATAGAAGGTGTCTATGAAATGAATGTACCATTAGATTTTCGTCTACTTCTTACTCTCGGTTGTATATGTTCATTACGTAAAGAACATTGTCGTACGAATATACTTTCGAATTTGTATCAATTTGATGAACTAGAGTTTTTATCGCTATCAGAACAATCGTATTTACAACCGGGAACATTACAATGTATTTATTTATACATACATCAAGATAATGGGAAATTATTTATCGCTTTATTTATACCGAATAGTTGCCGAATATTTATTGGTGTATTGGATAGTATTAGAGAAAATCAAATGCCAAATTTAAATAAATTACTTAAAAATGAATGCGAAAAAAGACTTCAAAGAGGCATCGATACCAATCTATTACCAATTAATGAACATCAATTTGAAGTTAAAGTTGATATGGATATACAGAATGTATGGAAGCGATTTAATAAAATTATTGCAAATCGTAAGTGAAACTGTATTCAAGTCTATCGAGAATAGTTCGAATAAGAGGCTGTCATCGTTTTACTGTAGATGAAATTATAATAGTTCTTAAGTAGTCTTTTCAGTTAGATTTTCGACGAGAGCTTTTGCATTCGAAATTTTTATCTTAATGAAAAACAAAAACTATAATTTTCATTAGTTCGCGAGAATGATATGGCAACTCGTTCATTGCCAATCTATTTGGCTATACAATCAAATATTCCTGTAGCCGATCTTCAATCGTCTATGTTATCATCATTAAATGATTATCCAAAAGTAATACTATCAATAAAAGATAAACCTAATCTATACAAAGGTCTTGATTGGCAACGAACAGCAGCTCGTCATGCTTTACAACATTATGCAAATGCAAATATCATACTTGTTAATATGCTTGAACAATGCCGATATCTTCATATACCAATAGGAAATTTTCCTGATGATCCATGTTTATTCGCATGTGATCTATTTTATGGTCGACATTTAGTTAAACATAATCATTTACTATGGTGTTCATTAACTGATCAACCTGATTTAGGTGGAAAAGAACAAGACGATTATCGAATGTTATTAACAGCTGATATTAACGATAATCATGGAAACAACCAGAGCAAGTCGAATGATAACCCGTTTAGCAGTGATAACGACGGGGCTCATACAAACAAACAAAATCATCCATTTGAAATCAATCATTCAGGATTCTATCCAACATCGTGTATTGAATTTGAATTAGTCGGTTTGGCTATATGTGCTGTTTTAAATTTTCAAAAAATTCACGAAGCCGAAGGATCCAATTTCGATCTTGGTATTGATAAAAATTCAAATTTTTCTTTTTCGATCATCACATTTTTCTAATTATGTTTCAGGTTTTGGTACAACTGTACAAAATCCTTTGGGTGGTCCTGGTGTTGTTCCATCGATAAGTAATACGTCTACGACTGCCTATGATGAAACAACACAATGCTTACCGGCATTACGTCTTCTACGGCAAATGGCTCAAGTATGGTTGCAAGATGTTCATTCTTTCACGAATATATTTGCTGATATGCAACTGAATCATTTCTATCGTTGGCTACAATCAACTAAAAGTCTTCTCTATGAACCTGCGCTTAAACGTACAATTCAAGTTTTTATGAGAAAATTACTGTAAGAATTGTGTTTTTGTTTCTATGAAAAAGTACAAAATGAAAAATTTTGCATTTCTTTTAGTGTGCAATTACTTATTGAATTGCAACGTATCGGTAGTACGACAATATACGGAAATCTGAATAAAATTATCTTGGCAACAAAACGTTGGTCACTTCTTGATACACGTTTATATATTAAAGTTATTCTTGAGCATCTTCAATTGAAAGATTTAACATCAACAATATGTTTAGAATTAAAATCGATCTATCATTGTTTATGGTGGTTTGACGATAAGAATTATTGTGGATTTCGTATATGGTCAAATACAAAAGGGCAACTCGATGATAATATTGATAACAATGATGAAGAAGAAACTATTTTCGATTGGAATATGATTGTCTATTTACCACGAGTCGTTCAAGATTATTTCGAAACGATTATGTAAGAATTCATATTCTGTTTTCCGAGGGAAAATTATAGTGAAAATGAAGCGTCCACTTGAATACGAGACTTCTTTCTTCCTAAATTTCAGAGACCCGAGTTCGAATAAAAAATCTATTTTCAGGATTGGTTTTGCTCGTTCAATATACGATCGTCTTCGTGATGAATACAAAGAAGCAACATCGATAACACAAACAAATTTGCCAGTAAAAGTTCTTGAATATTGCCGTGGACTATTCACCGATGAACTTTATCAACAATTAATGTCGGTCACAAATCAAATCGAACGAAAATTAACAAAAAGCGATTTTGATTCAACGCTGCCAACACCCTTATCAAGTACAAGTCCGGCGCTTGAATTCGTTAAATCAGTTTGTTGTCTTCTATTTCTTTTGCACGATATGCACGATGACGTTATGAATCTTCGACGAGATTTACTTAAATTACTTAAACTTAGCGAGTAAATCGATCATAATATTTATTTTGCTTTCTTTATATCTGCTTTTTTTTATTTGTTCAGATATTCTGAAATGACAACAACAAATCTGTCATCATTAACATCGTTCGTTGTACCACAACTTGTTTGTTCAAATTGTAATCATTATCGAGATATTGATTTATATCGTGAAATAAATTCAACGATCGATAAAGATTCGGACGACGAACAATATCGACAATATCAATATACCTGCAATCAATGTCATACCCCCTACGATCAAACAGTTATTGAACAATATTTAATCAATCATTTACAAACACTTGTATTAGAGAATGTTCTTCAAGATGCAACTTGTAATAAATGTCATTTTGTTCGAAATGTTTATTATAAAATTTATTGCGATTGTGGTGAATTATATCATAATTTACATACGACAGCACTTTTACATAACACTTGTATTATACTAACGCAGATCGCATCGAAACATCAAATGACAGCTCTTCAACAACAAATACAATTTCTTAACAGACTGAACCATTGGAATGAGTGACTTGTGTGAGTTTTTCTTTCGAAGATAAATATGTTGTGTAGATCTATTTTTTTTTGTATGATTAAAAGTATATATATATATATATGAATGAATGATGATAAAGAAAGATAACCGTTGCCTGTTGTGGTGTTAATAGTAACAGGAGCGGAATATTTTAAGAGAAACAGAGGCGTTCATTGATGCTAAAGTTATTCCTGGTGTTGTAGATATTTTGTAGCACCAGAATCAGGTCGCGGTCATTTGCGATGGAGAACATGATGATCAATGGTTATTTAATATTTCAGTTGGGCCAAGTGTAAGGGTGCCTCATAAAAGACTAAGGTATGCTGTTTAAAAGAAGCTAAATTAGACCATTCGTCACGATGATATACAGTCCGCGAAAAACTAATTTTAGCTATCATTATTTTCAACGGAAAGTCTAACATTTTCTACGAGAAGGAAAGATACTGAACAGAAGAGTCGTTAGCAACACGGCTGTCCGTTTGTTTCATTTCAACATCAGAATCAAAGAACAATAAGAAAATTACACGTATTAAATTCACTCGAACAATGGTTTTCTAAATGTGCCTCAATGCAGTGTGTTTCATCTCATATAACTAATTAATATTTATTCGATGAAATACATTATTGAGAAAAAAGTGTTTTGGAGAGAAAACCCGAAAATACATAAGTCGAAATTGTTAGATATATGAAAAAAAAATCCCCTTTAAGTTAGATGACATAAAAGAAACAAATAGGCGAATCAGTTTTATTCTTCCATTGCCCGTAAACATAGACATCACCACGAACTTCGATTTGTTTTCGCAGTATTCCTTGGCTGTATTCATTTTCATTCAGCAGAATAACATTGTTTCCATTTTGTATTTTTACCTCACGTGCATCAGGTATGACCATGTGTATGAATGCCATTGTATTGTGTCGCAAAAAACTTTGTAAAGGTTGAATTAAAGTACATCGCTGTAATTCAAACGATGGAAACGTATACGGAAATAAAATGGTTTGAGATATGTTCGGTCCCGGTAATCGTAAAGACATCGCTGCTCGATATTCCGTTTCCGTATTGGTTTTGGCATAGATAATCACATTGTAGGGCCCATCTACAGTTGGCGGAGCGACATAGCAGGTGACTTGATCGGAATGCATAGGATCCGGCTGACAGAGTGTATGAGACTTTTCTGGATATTCAATACCGGCAATGTAAAATTTAGCAAATACATGAACAGGTTCTGGTGTTTTTATCGACACTTTGAGTAGATGTCGATCTGGTGAATTAAATGAATCCTGATTGATACCGAACGAACCATCGGCTGCTTTTTTGTTCGGCAAACTATGCTGGCTCTCGACAGCGACATTCTGGCTAATCGATTCCAACTGCTGTATGTTCATGTTGATAGTTGTTTGAGCGGTGTTTTTGATATCAGTCGCAACCGTACTTTCTGATTTGGCAACCAATGATGACCATGTTTGCTCGATGAATATTTGACGAAGGATACGTTGTAAATGTTCACTCCAGAGCGTCTGCTGTTGTTCAATTGTATCGATAAGAAAATTTTTCTGTTCAACGAACAAACGATTTAATGCATCAGTTTCATCTCTTGTTATGATAGTAGCCTTGTTTTCAGTCCTCTGTTCGATAGTGTGCTTCAACTGGGTAATTGAAAGAGTCATCGACTCGAATTTTTCAATAGTTTTCGATAAAGTCCGTTGTACTTCTTTTTCAATTGTTTGAATCATTGTAAGCTGAAATTGATTCAGCGCTGGCAATGATTCCTGTTTATTGTTGACCAATTGTGTTACAGTTTCCGAAATACGATCAACAGAAGAATCAATAGTTCTTATTTGTCTTTCGTAGATACTTTCAATCGACTGTTTCTGCTCTTCGAACAGACGAACTAGTTCATCTTTCGTAACCATAGATTTCGTTGATTCTTGTACCAAGTGTTGTTCTTCTACTTTGATTGATTGAATTAGTAATTCATTCTCTGCCTTCAATTCTCGACGAAACGATTCGACCATTGTCTGATGTTCGGTTTCAAGGAGAGTACTTATTTTCTCATCAACTACTGTTGTTTCCTCAGTTTTCTTGGACGATTCTTTAATAGATTGAAGTAATGTTTCATTTTCTGCTTTGATCGTTTTGCGCAACGATTTGACCAGTGATTGACGTTCAGTTTTCATCATTTGAGCTATTGATTGTTCGATAGATATCGTCTCACGCTCAACTTTCCTTGGGGTTACGGAACTAGGACGAGCACGATTTATAGCACCCTTTGATTTACTAGCCTGTTGCATCGCCGAAATACGGTCAAAATGTGACGATTTTTTTGATAGTGGAACAATATTAGGTCGTTCTTCTGTACAATCAGGACAATTAAAAATATAATAAGTGCTTGCATATGATGGACGATCTTTGCGAAGTCCTAAAACGTGATAAGTAAATGAATCGACCTTGAACGAATGAGTAATATCATAGTAATTATGGTCATGCACTCCATGGAAAAGGCCAACATTTCCGTACATTTCGTTTCTTTCCAATCGGTATTTTAACGACTAAAATCAGTTGACGAACTTTAAATGCCTATGTGAAATTCAAAGCAACGTTTTTCTAAAAATATTTCTCTATCAATGAAAATTGATTTAATACGGATGAATCTTATTTTAATCGTTTAATCGTGAGGATATGAGTGAGAGCAATTAATCTGACTACAAAATGGAGTGCTCTAGTTTCTTTGTATTTAGAGTAAATATAAATGAAGTTTCGATCGATCAAACATACACTTGAACATCAAATCTTGGGAGAAAAGTTATTTATGGGAATGAAGGCATGGCCACCAAATCGACGGCAACGTCACAAATGAATGCAATCAATGTGCCAAAACAAAACAAAAGTTCTTGCTTCTTTTTTTTCATTCTGTGGAAATCAAGCTGCCAAATAGGCGTCGTACGAGAAGAGAGAAGAAGATCAAACAAATTTATTTTTACGACGCATTACGACGACTATAATTCCCAGTAAAAATGTTGAAAGCAACTCTTGCACAGAATACAAACAAATCAAGGACTTCTTTTCTCATTCGATGTTGTCACGGATTCTACACATGAGCCTTTTTAGAAAGGATTTTCATTTTTCTTTTGTTTTGCCCATCGGCAACGTCAAACAATCGTCTGCTGTTGACACAACCTTCTTTTGTTGCATGAATTCTTACAAATGTAACAAAATGAAGAATTATAACAAAATCATGTGCTAAAAAGAATTGACGTATAAGTATTTTGTAAGAGCGTAACTCAATTTTACACCAGTGGTGTTCTTCTTATGTGGTCACATGTCATGATCAGAGAGACGGGCCTATCTATTTATTATTGCTATATTTTCATTTTGAGCAGATAACGATAAAAACAGGATGTGAGTTCCATGCATGTGCCGAAATGGTTTTATTCCTCACGTTCTTTAAAAAAAGATAACTATAGCTACAGTCATACCTTTAATCACTAGGCTGTTTATGTCTTACATAATGCGTAGTTTGCTTCTTTGAAATATATGTGTCTTTAAATTCATGACATCTCCGGCGATCCATTGATAGTAATATTAATCCAATTTAATGACCAGGTTTGAATATTGAAACATTAACTTCAGCAAAAACAAGACTGATAGTATCTGTCTTTTAAGTTGAGCTTCTCAATAAAGGAACTCAATAATGATACTACAGTGAGAGTCTTTCCAAATTGGATAGCCAGTACAGACTCATGTATATCAATATTACAAGAAAACGAAAGATACTCAGCCCTAGCGAGAAAATCGTGTTGTTTTTTGCTTTCTTGTAAACTTTGACGTGCTGACTCACACATAAAGAATGTTTTGTTTCCATATTGCTCTCGAAATGTACTTTATATTCGTGTGTTATAATCTGATAGATTCAAGTCAATTTTCCTTTTTTTTTAATGCCATATACTAATGTAAAGAAGTAAACAAGCTGAAACTAGAGATTAAATCATTGCAACTAACCTTGGAAAATCAGCAGTGACGCTTAAGTATTGCAAAATTTATGATCTTTTGCTTTTTGGATACACTCAATTGTATGAGCGAAGAATGATTTCTTTATGCAAACTTTATTTTAAGAATCAATCGATATCAAAATCAAAGAAATCACAGGCAAAAATGAATTCAATATTTTATTGTAGTTGAGTGCAGTGAATGGAAAAGGTCTCGCGAAACAATCCCACTATATTGTATCACTTAATACAATATGTTCTGTTTATCCGATGAGTCTTGCTTTTGTGAACAGGCTGGCGATTGCAGCCAATATTACATATGGAAGCATGCCACTATAACGCACGGAACTGTTTCAATAGTTACTAGTACAGCGACTTACCTGTTCCACTGGAGGTGGTAGTTCCTGAAGAACATGATGTACTACAACCACGAGCTGCTAAGCCGCCGGTCAATACAACTTCTATGAATAGTTGACAAAATCTTAGTTATGCATATTAAAATATCCTTTTACTTACAACACATGTTGTAACTTTTGTATATAGCAAGTGGATAGATAAAGGTTACCAAAAGAAAGGTTAAATTTGATCTCGGCAAGCCGATGTATAGTAGCAGTAGTAGCAATTCAATCCATTGGTCGCTCCCGTCAAGGCTTAAAAGTGAAAACAAAATGCTGATTAAAATTCCGAGCACACAAAAAAACGAGAATAAATTTTGTAAGTTTCCATATCTGAATATACGTTTATAGGCTGTATGAAAACCTGTAACTTGGCATCTCTAAGAAATTCAAATCAATTAACTCTGTACATGATATCGTTTCACATCAGAAAATGAGAATTTTTTCATGCCCGTAGCTATGCTCATGATTTGAGGTCAATTTTAATATAATATCAATGATTCTATTCTCTGCTGCTCTATTATTTTAATACTCATGATAGAGTAAACTCTAGTATTGAGAAACGAATCATCTGTACAAGATTATGTGGTATTGCAATCGCTAGCTTCTATCCAACATGCAGCATCAAAGAAAAATGCTCATTGAACACGAGCAGCTCGTCGAACTGCAGAAAAAAGTTTACAATGGCATATTTCTTTTTTTATGTTCAAAAATCACATTTTGCCAATAAATATCTTGTTCTGGTCTCGTCTTGATAACTGTGTCATGATGCATTTACTTCTTTCCCAACTGCAATTGACTGCGGGTGTTACTGGGTTTTTTCTTTCGCACTTACTTTTTTTCACCGCAACAACTTCATAATTTGAATATTGTAAGATAGAAGCTATCCTACACGAATAGAATATCTACTTCCTACCCTTTGACGGATAATTGAAGCTAAAAACGATGGATGCTTAAATGTTACTTGTATTAAGATTACCCCGATAACCCTAACGAGGCTTGGAAGAGGCCTTAACGATTTATTCTGTCCGTGTGGACGCACGTACCCCTATAGAGCTGCAACTCACAATGTGAATGTAACATACTGAAGCTAAAGATAATTGCTCATTTTCATTTCAAATGCATTCATTGAACAGAATTACTTTCAACTTAACAAATGCTCACTCAAATAAAGTAATCGCTTCCAGAAAAGATCAACATTGGATCATTTCACATCTCGCGACATAAAAAGAAACATTATTCACATTGATTTTCATTGCCCCTCTACACGACTGCGGACATTGTTTGAGAAGGAATACTATCATCATTCTAGAAATACATAAATCATGCGTTGACATATGGATTTTGCACGAAAAACTAGCGGCACATAGAGAATAAATGCTATGAGAATAAAATTCATTGTTAATATTTATGTTTCTTATTGAAATATTCTGAAATTTGAGGGTTTCTAATAGTAAATTAAAGACCCCTCTTTGCTTTGGATTCCCTGCATAGCACCAAATGAGAGTGAAAGGGCAACGGTTAAAGTGTAGAAGTAATGCATATTGGCGTTTGATTTTATACATGAATAAAGTTGCTACTACTTCACTTTAAATCGCCATTTATTTTTATATTTATATAAATCATATCTATAGTATTTTTCGTAAAAATTCAATCAATCGTATAACATAATTCAAACGTTCATTTTGGGAAAACAAATTAGTGTGACGGTTCGATTTGACTCACTTAGTTAAAGTCGAAGTTCTAACTTAGAAATCATTCTAATGCATAATCTTGATGAAAAAGCATGTGAAATTTACGAAAAATTGAGTTTTTCATTCAATATTTCATTGATTTTAGATATATTTTCATGATGCGTGTTTGAATTTAACGCTAGCCAATCAGAGCTATCCATTATATACTGTCACGAACCTCTACAACGGTATACATATTTTTTCTTAACTCGTTAGATTCTCTTATACGGTATCCACATAGCTTCGCGCGAGAGGTTTTGATCGATCATTAATCCATCTCTTGACACGTTTCGACTGGGAATCAATCAAGAAATATTCGTTAAAAAGGCGAATGGGTAAAATTGTAAGTTCAGTGTTTCATAGAATTAATTACGTATAATTGTATACGCCGCAAAACAACACGATGAATGGCAATTTAAAATGCAATATATTGATTTCGTTATGTCTGCGACATACCGACGCGACACATTTTATTTTTGATGTGTCGACATCGTTTTTCCTATAGAAATCAACATGACTATCATTATTTTTCTAAGCGACTAGTATGTAGTAGAACCTTCAAACACTCAGTTCGCATGTGTGTTAAACGAGGCATTTATGCCGCATATTGCCATGTAAATGTATACTTCAAAATCATTTTCTCTATTATTCTTATTTCTTCGTTACGTGACGCAAAAGTTCCAGCATTGGCGAGCGGATGTAAAGATGCCTTTTGAAGAAAATTCTTAAGAAAAGATTTCTTTTTTCTTAATATTTATGAAAGTTCACTGTGATGTAAGTAGCTATGTTTTAACGACGCAAGGAAAGAATTGAATAAAAAAATAACTGATAAACAGTGAAGCTGTTTTTAGTGGTTTTCTTATATTGTGACTAATGGGTATAGATCACGCGACTTTGAAAGAGATGCAGCTAAAGAAGAGACAGACAAGAACAACAATTTCTTATGAAATAGAAATTCAGCAAAAAAATATCGAGTCATTTGCATGTGACTGAGATGGCGTTATGTTATGTGATGATACCTATCAGAGACCGAAACCGATGACAAAAGTGCCATTCGATTCGATTCGGCTTTTTAGAACTGTGATTCGATTCGATTCGGCTTTTTTTCAATTTTTTTTATTCATTCGATTCGATTCGGTAGTTTTGAAGTTCCATTCGGAATCGATTCGATTTCGGTCTCTGATACCTATCGTCCCAATAACCTCTATGTGACTTTCCTTTTTCTCTTTCTATTTGAGATTTGCCGCGAAGTATACATAGATATAGATCGATGATCTAGTATACAGCAGAGAAGATAAGTGCGAAGTATTGAGTCGTCTCCACGACTATGTCGTTCGATTATTATTGTTATCATCATTATAAATAAAATGCTTAATTACTTTATTTATCCAAACATCTATTTATC